CGCCCACCATCTCATCCTGACCAAGGCCAACTCTTTTAGGATCCAAACGTTTTCCCTCCTCCTTTCACTTTCTGCCTCCAGAAGAGAAGAGGAAGGGGAGGTAAGGGTAGGGAGGGGACTTGGGGAGAACCTCCTCTCTCCTGGGCCACCCACCCTACTTTGGCCTGCCATGTGGCCCCCAAGTTTATCCATGCCTGTTCTGTGATCTCTATTCAGGCTTTAAGTATGACCAGTAATAATAATGCTAAAGGTATATCTGAGCATTCTTTCTTCCTCTCTTCCCTGGCAAAGTGCACTGTACTTTCATATAACAACAAGCAGCACTCAGTTTGTATTGCATTAGGAACTGGTCACAAGTATGGTCCAGCAGTTGTAAACAAAAGTATACAAATATGGTTCATCTTTTGCATACGCATAAACAAAAATAAAGGGCTGCTGTAAGTCTTTCGGGCTGTATGGCCATGTTACAGAAGCATTCTCTCCTGACATTTTGCCTGCATCTGTGGCAGGCATCCTCAGAGCTTGTGAGGTCTGTAGATACCTGCCATAGCTGCAGGCGAAACATCAGGAGAGAATGCTTCTTGAACATGGCCATACAGCCCGAAAGACTTACAGCAACCTAGTGAATCTGGCCATGAAAGCTTTGGACAATACAAAAAGAAAAGGGATTCCTACCCTTCAAGAATCACATAATTCATTTTAGAGGGTGTTTTATCTTAAGCAAACACATTAACAGAGGGAGGGAAACAATGGTAGAGAGTACATGCTTTTGTATGTACATTCCTAGGTTTAGTCCCTGGTATCTCTATTTAGGACTGAAGAGACTCCTTCCTGCACCCCTGGATACTGAGACTTCCGGTCAATGTTGACCATAGTGTCTCAAGGAAAAATCCCATGGCCAGAAATACTAAAAGATGAAGGAGTTCGTCATAGGTGGGAGTTTCTGAAAAGTGGATATTGGAGGCACAATTTCCAGCAGTTCCAATGAGGAGGAAAAACAGGAGGGATCTACAGATGGGTGTCTCAAAGAACTTTCAACTGAGCTAAGATTTAATGTAGAAGACAGGGAGAAATCACAAAATGCCAGAAATAAAAAAAAAATAGTCAGACAGTCCGAAAAGCCACAGCGCAGAAGGAGCTCACGCTTATTAGGAAGATTAAAAACAATAAAACCAGCTTTTTGGGTTATGTTCGTAGCAGAAGGAAAAACAAGGAAATGGTAGGGCTGCTGCATACAGGTGATAGTGAAATGCTAACAAGGGGACAGAGGAACGACGAAACTGCTCAACGCTTTCATTGCATTAGACTTCTCCCAAAAGGTAAATAGTGTTCAACTTGGGTGTAATGGAGCAGATGAGGCAATAGGGGAAATGCAGCACAAAACAGATAAAGAAACAGCACAGGAATACCTGGCTACTGTGAAAAAATTCAGGTACCCAGGGCCAGGGGAATTACATTCAAGAGTGTTAAAAGAACCAGCAGAAGTAATTTTAATACCATTGGGATATTAAACATAATAATAATGATAATAATAACAACAACACTTTATTTATATTCCGGCTTTCTCCTCAAGGAGACTCAAAGCGGATTACAGTATATAAGCAGACATAGGCAAACATTCAGTGCTTTATTACAATGACATACAAAGAGACAAACAGACAAAGGCAAAGGCTTCTCCTTACATTTCCGGCTCTGGAGGCGGTGCTCATCTCCGGCTCTAGGGGAAGTGTTCTTCTCCATTTCCAAGTTGAGGAGCCTGCATCCGTAGACACCTCCTGATCATGTGGCTGCATGGAGCGTCTTTTTGTCTTTTCCCGCTGAAGCCGTACCTATTGATTTGCATGTTTTCAAACTGCTAGGTTGGCAGAGCTAGTACTAACAACTGGAGCTCATCCCATCCCCCGATTTCAAACTGCCAACCTTCAGGTTAGCAGTTCAGCAGCACAAGGGTTTAACCCATTGTGCCTCCACGGCTCCCTTGAAATGTAATTGAAATGTAATTGAAATCTAGTTATTAGATTTTGAGACCTACTTCTGTGATGCCTATCTCTGCCACATTTCCCATTTTGTATTTCATAGAATTGTAGAGTTGGAAGAGACCTCATGGGCCGTCCAGTCCAACCCCCTGCCAAGAAGCAGGAAAATTGCATTCAAAGCACCCCCAACAGATGGCCATCCAGCCTCTGTTTAAAAGCCTCCAAAGAAGGAGCTTTCACCACACTCTGGGGCAGAGAGTTCCACTGCTGAACATCTCTCACAATCAGGAAGTTCTTCCTAATTTTCAGATAATGAACATTGATAATGTTTCTTCCTATAATTGATCAGGCTACATCTCCATAAATTCTGGAAGGCTTGCCTTGAGATATATTTCCCATGCTATCAAAGTCCAGGAATGATAGCCAGGAGAGCATTTGGTTCTATTTGTCTTCCCTTTGGTGTCCAAATGCGAAGGGAGGTAATAAGCACTTCTCCAAACAAACAAGATTAGCTTATGGCTCATTTCCTTGAATTAAAAAATACGGACAGGTGGTGTCTACAATTGACGTAAGGTGATTTTGAGGTGAGCTTGTAGCTCCTCTGTAAGTCATGTAAAGCAACATAATGTGTAGGATTAATAGCATTACATCTAATAAAGGAGTTGAATTTGACAAAGAAAGACTTAATTCATATATCTAACAGGAGCGCAAGAAAGGGAGAGTAAGGCAGGATAACAACCACTTACCAAGTACACAAAGGGAAACTGATTTATGCCCATGTGCTGCACATGAATATGCCCAGTATTGGTTGCATGGTGTTTGAAGGGACCCGGATTCTGTACTTTTCCTTGTTTTCCCATGAATCCTGATTGCTTGAGATTCTGGCTTGCCTGGAGACAATGCATGTGCATACAAGTTTATGGGGACATAATAGTTTCAAATGGTGGGCAGGTAAATGGCAGTGCTTCAATCAAGCTTTCTCTCTCAATGAGGGAAAGGTCTGTGGGGTGGATTTATTTTTCCCCCAAGTAATTTTTTATTCAAGAAAAAGACAAAATAGAATAAGCAAACATTACGTAAAACCACACAAAACAAAATATCTACATAGTATCAACTACTACTGAACTACAACTAAGCGATTATTTAAAATAATCAGAGAGAGTGAAACAAAACACACAAACACAGAGAAAGAATGACATGAAAAGAACAACAAACTTTCCACTCTGTATCTGATGGGTGTTATTCCTTGTTAGTTTACTCCCTTTAAACCATTCATTTTAATTCTACGAACCATCGGATACTGCCGCCTCCATTGAATGTAGTTTTCTAATAATAGTAATTCTAAATCTTCTAGGAATAATACACAATATGCAACATTTTGGAAAAACTCCCTGACCGTACCTCAGGTTTATACCACATAACACATAGTAATAGTAATAGTAATAATAATACATTTTATATTCCGCTCTATCTCCCTGAGGGGACTCAGAGCGGATTACAGTATACACATATGCAGGCAAACATTCAGTGCCTTTTATACAGTGAACAATGACATATAATATACAAACAAAGGCAAAGGTTTTCCTTTCCATCTCCGGCGTCTGCAGGCAATGCTCAACTCTGGCCATGGGGAGGTGCTCTTGTTCCATTTTCCCATGCCAAGGAGCCTGTTGTCCATAGACCCTCCTGGTCGTGTTGCTGGCATGGGCACCTTTTACCTTCCCACCAAGGTGGCACCTATTGATTTACTCACATTAGCATGTTTTTGAACTACTAGGTTGGCAAAAGCTAGGGCTGACAGTGGGAGCTCACCCCACTCCCAAGATTGAAACTGCCAAAGCTTTTAGTCCGCAAGTTCAGCAGCTCAGCAGTATAACCCACTGCGCCACTGGGGGCTCATGTAGTATATATAATATATATTATATTACAGCATTATTAATATTAACCTTGATCCACGTCTTCAAACTTCCAACCTTCTGGTCAGCAGTTTTTCCATAGCTAGCAGTTTAGCCCGCTGTGCTGCTGTGGCCCCCTATTGTACTATCAAAGCTCTTTATAAACACTGTATCTCGGTCATGAGAGAACCCACTGGATGATTTTCTCAGCCACAAAGGATGCCCCCCCCTTCCCCGGCAAAGAAATCTTGCTAAGACAACCCTGCAATAGGTTTGCCTTGAGGTGCCATAAGTTGGATGACTTGAAGGCGCAACAACAAGAATCAGCTGCCATAAAGCAAGTCTGCCTTTGGCTGAATTGCTTTGGTCATTGGTTGAGATGTGGAAAGAGGGAGTAAAAGAAGCAATAGCTTGGTGGAAGCAAGAGCTGGGACTTGGGAAGGTGGGTGAAGGATGGGGGCCAGACAGTGGGAAGCTGTGAAAAAATGGCTATAGAATGTAGCTGGATGTGCATAATACCTGCAGGAAGCTTTCTTTCTACGAAATAAGAGGTCACTTTCATATTTATGAACATACAGTATATTGCTTATTATATTTTCTGTAAGATCACCAAAGTCACTTACCCACTTATCCATGCAGCCCATACTCGCAGTGTCATTTATGACAAAATATACCCTCTCTAGGCGCGTTCTAGGTTCTCCAACACATTGTGTTGGAAGTCCTTCATTTCAACAGGGTTCACTATTATCCATGGTTTCCTATATCCACACCATGTCCGGGAAAATATTTTCCATGGATATGAAGGTTGTACTGTACATCATATACATTAAGTGCATTGTAAACTACCCTGAGTCCCTTTGGGAGTTATAGATAAAGTAGTAGTAGATTTTGTTGTTATTGTTATTTTACTGACACAAAAACACAGTATGTCACAGCAAATGAGATATATATGCTGGATTTCGTATCACAAAATCACAAGTCGAACACTTCCCAAGCGTCTAGGACTGTGTGATGTATTTTCGAACGTTATTGTTATTGTTATTGTTGTTGTTATTGTTATTATTATTATTATTATTATTGTATTATCCTGAAAGATAACTAAAAGATGGATGTTGTGTTTAACTTGCAGCCAACTACAGTGAACTGTATCACTGGTCAGTAGAGCATTATCCTGATTTTTGGGCCGAATTCTGGAAGTTCAGCGGGATTGTCTTCTCTCACCTATATGATGAGGTAAAACATTGTGGATATTGCAACCTTTGGTTATTTTTCCAAGTTGCTTTAAATCAACATATTCCCTATGTTACAAAATGAATGCATAGTGGAATTGTTTCTTCTAATGAGTTTGGAAACATGTGGATCTCTTGACCGCAGATATGACTTATATCTTTATATAGATATTGATTACATTTATACATTCTCCTACAACTGGTAACATGCTAGAGTAATTTTCCTCTCAGTTTATAATAGTCTTTGCCCTCAAGCATAATCTAGAAAGATGTGGCACAAGAGGAAAAGTGGATGGGGAAAGTGAAAAAGATAATGAGAGCAATCTGCCATCAGTTTTTAATGTTCTTCAACCTGATGGAATGGATACAGGATGGTAGTTGGGGAGATGCCCCTTTTAACTGGCTTCTTAGGAGGGCTGATGGTGGCCTTGCTTTACTTTTCTCTTGCCCAGCCTCACAGATCATAGTGTCAAACAACCTAGTGATTTGGCAAAGAAAGGAGCTCTCGGCTAAATATTTGAAGTACAGTGTTCCCTCACTTATCGCGGGTGTTACGTTCCAGGACCACCCGCAAGAAGTGAAAATCAGTGAAGTAGGGACGCTCCTCTTTCCCCCTCCCCTCCTCCTTCCCCACTTGCTTAGGGAAGGAAGGAAAGGAAGCAAGCCCTCCTCCTCCTCCTTTTCTCCCTCCTCCTCCCCCGCTCATTTGGGGAAGGAAGTAAGGAAGTAAGGAAAGGAAGCAAGCCCTCCTCCTCTTTTCCTCCTCCTCCTTCTCCACTCACTCAGGGAAGGAAGGAAGGAAAGGAAGCAAGCCTTCCTCCTCCTTTTCCTCCTCCTTCCCTGCTCGCTCGGGGAAGGAAGGAAAGGAAGCAAGCCCTCCTCCTCCTCCTTTTCTCCCTCCTCCTTCCCCGCTCGTTTGGGGAAGGAAGGAAGGAAAGGAAGCAAGCCCTCCTCCTCCTTTTCCTCCTCCTCCTTCCCCACTCAGGAAAGGAAGGAAGGAAGGAAGGAAGGAAGGAAGGAAGGAAGGAAGGAAGGAAGGAAGGAAGGGAAGCAAGCAAGCCTTCCTCCTCCTTTTCCTCCTTCTTCCCCGCATGCTCGGGGAAGGAAGGAAAGGAAGCAAGCTCTCCTCCTCCTTTCTCCCCTCCTCCTTCCCTGCAAAACAGCGAGTCTGCAGAAAGCAAACCGCGAAGTAGTGAGGGAACACGGTACCTCCAGTAAAATGTGTTGTCAGTATTCTATTTGGGGGTGTTCTCACTGTAAACCACCAACACTGTCCGTACCAAATGGCAAGGTGTTCTTGTGTGAACAGGGGCTTAAGGAGAGCCAGTGTTCTATGGCCTACCTCAATTCCCAAACATGCATAATCCAGTCAGCCTGACATGAATGCCAGGAAAGATTCTAGAACGGATCTTTAAAGATACAGTCTTTAATCACTTAGAAAGGAATGCTGTAATTGCAAAAAGTCAACATGGTTTTCTCAGAAAGAAGTCATCCCAGACTAATCTTACAACTTTTTTTTGATAGAGTTACAAGCTTGGTAGATGCAGGGAATGCTGTGGATGTAGCACATCTTGATTTCAGCAAGGCCTCTGACAAACACCCCCGTGATATTCTCACAAAAGAAGGTAGTAAAATGTGCATTAGACAATGCTACTGGCAGATTTGTAATTGGTTGATTGACTGATTCCAAAGCTCACCAGCCACTCTTCGTCCTGGACAGAAAGGACTGTTGGGGTGCCACTGGGTGCTATTTGACATTCTTGGCAATGACTTGGGCAGTGGAATAGAAAGCATTCTTATCAAATTTGTAGATGACACAACATTGGGAGGGAGCACTCCTATCCCAAAAGAAAGGGTCAGGATCCAAAATGACCTTAACAGATTAGAGAGCTGGGTCAAAACTAACAAATTGAATTGCAGTAGGGAGAAATGTATGGTGCTACATTTAGGGAGAAAAAAAATGAAATGGACGGATATAGGATTGGTGAGTGGTCTGAGAGTAGTACATGCAAATGGGATGTAGAGGTCTGAGTAAGCCATAGGCTGAACATGAGTGAGTAGTATGATGAGGCAGTTAACAAAGCCAATGTTATATCCAGGCTAGCTCTAGTTCAGAAAATAAGCTCTCAAAAGTTTAGAAGCTTTATTCAGAAAGTAGAGTAGATCTCAGCATGCCGTATTTAGGACTGAAGGCCCAGCAGCTGTACAATACAATCAGTCCTCCACTTTTGCAGATTTCACACTCACTGTTTTTATTATTTGTGGATATGAAACATTGCCACCTTCCGAAGTTGGGGCCGCCACCTGAGCATTCACATGGAACCCCCATCTTTGGAAAGTGAGCAAGGAATGTGTTTGGGAGACATATATGCTGTGAGTCTCTGTTCCACCTGGTATCTCCTTTCCTTTGCTCAGGTCAAACAGAGACTCGTGGTAGATAAGTTAGAGAAGGAACTGGCCATGTGATGTGGATTCAGCTCCTCTTCTTGTGTTCCATGTATCTCTGATCCTTCTAGACAAAGGAAGAGGAGTAGTGAGGGCAACAGAAACACATGGCAACCCCATCCTCAGAAAGCGAATGAGGCATGCGTTTGGGAGACACTCATGCCAGGAGTCTCTGTTCCACTTGGTATCCCCTTTCCTTTGCCCAGGTGAAACAGAGACTCATGGCAGGTAAGTTAGAGGAGGAACTGGTCATGTGCTGTGGATTCAGCTCCTCTTCTTGTATCCCTCCTAGACAAAGGAAAGAGGAGTAGTGGGGGGAACAGGAACAAATGACAACCCCATCCTCAGCAAGTTAATGAGGCACGTGTGCCGTGAGTCTCTGTTCCACTTGGTATCCCCTTTTCTTTGCCCAGATGGAACAAAGACTCATGGCAGGTAAGTTAGAAGCGGAACTGACCATGTGCTGTGGATTCAGCTCCTCTTCTTGTGTTCCTCTCAGACAAAGAAAGAGGACTAGTGGGGGGAATAGGAACACACAGCACAGAGAATGGTGAGGAGGACTTGATTCCACCAAGTATGTGATGAAGCAGGCAGGGCAGGTTCCTCTCCTTTGTCCTGTTTGTCACATGTCTCCATTCTGCCTGGTATCTCATTTGATTTCATGGGCAAACCAGAAGCGTATGGTACACAGGCAAGAGGAGGAGTCGGCCCCGTGCTGCTGTACTTACACTACGAATTCTCCTCTTCTTACTGAATTCTGTGAATCTATTCTACATAAGCAAGTGAAGAGGAGTATTGGGGGATAGGAACACATGGCGTATAGGAAGAGGAGGAGGAAGCAGGTCCGCCAGCTAAGTGATAGTGTGAACGTGGGCAAGATTAGTTCCTCCTCTTTCTCCTGTTTGCTGCAAGTGTCTATTCCATCAGTATCTCGCTTCCTTTCCTAGATGCCCTTTCAGATAGGCCCTATATCTCAGGATCTGGTTCCAGGTTTTCTGTTTATCCCAGATTATCTGACAGTGGGGACTCATATAATCCAGTTTAATGCAGAAAACCTGGGATCAGATCCTGGTGCAGGGCCTGTGTGGAATGGCCCTAGGCTAAATAGAGACTTGTGACACACAGGTAAGAAGAGGTGGTCTGCATCGCTTCACTTACTCTGCAGATCCAGTTCCTCTTCTTGTGTCCTATGAATCTCTCTGTTTCACCCGGACAATGGAAGAAGAATACTGGGGAGAACAGGAAGACACGGGACATAGGAAAAAGAGGAGGATCTAGATCCATCATGGAACCAGTTCCCTATCTCCACCCCCACCCTCCCTGGAGATATTCATGGTTTTTCTACTCTTGCAAGGGATCTGCTCCCCTAACCCGGATGAAAGTGGAGGAATGTCTGGATACCCGTATTTACTTGAGTCTAATGCACCATCAGATCTAATCCACACCTCGATTTTCAAAACTCTGAAACCCCCAAAAAAGTATTTGCCATGTTACACAAATCTAATGCACACCCTAATTTTAGGAAGGTAATTTAGTCAAAGAAGGTGAGCATTAGATTTGAGTAAATACAGTATTTATAGGCACGCAATTCCGTTTTTACATGGAATACAGTGTTCCCTCACTTATTGCTAGTGTTACGTTCCAGGACTGCCCGCAAAAAGTGAAAATTCACGAAGTAGTGACACACACTCTCTCTCTCTCTATATATATATCAATATCACATTCTGAGGGTGAGGCAGAAGCGAGGAGAGATTTAAAGGCACCACACACCATTTTTTTTGCTAGCTATAAGGAAGGGGCTATAAGGCCGTGATTTACATACTGCTTTGTATCTTCTCTCTCTCTCTTTTTTATGATTGGCTGCCTCTCTCCTGACGGGGAGGGTGAAACCCCCTTCCACACTCCATCGTTGTCAGGAGGCAAAAACCCGCAAAACAACAAGTCTGCGAAAAGCGAATGCGAAGTAGTGAGAGAACACTGTATCCCCGTTCATCAACTAATAGAAACATTCACTTTAGTTATCCCTCATCCCCTTTTATACTCTTTCTGTCACAAGAATGACCTTGGCAGCTTCTATCTGTTAGTTTCCACTCATAGCATATCTGGCCATAACTCTAGAGCGCACAATAAACAATTCCAGGCTGATGAGAGAATGTGAGGTACCCCATTAAACAGAAGCATAGGTAAAATAATGACAAGGTCAATCATTCACTGTACAATGATATAAGGCACATGTTAAAAGCAAATGTATGGCAGGACCTATGGTCTTGAAGGTCAATGAGAGTCTAGGCTGCATCAATAGGTGTCTTAATATCTAGATTGAGGGAAGTCCTAGTCCCACTCTATTCTGCTTTGGTCATCTGGAACAACATTGTGTCCAGTTCTGGGCAAAGCAATTCATGGAGGATATAGAAAAGCTGGAATATGTCTTTCAAATATATGATTCCTGTTGTGAATCGAGACTAGTGCCAACCTCATGTGGCCCCAGAGCCAAGAGTTGCTTCCTGCAGTTATTATGACTGGATATGGGGCTGTGGAGGGGTTATACCTCTGTAGGGAGTCCATAGGAAACATGCCTCGTATTCAGAAAGATTTTGTTTTGTCCTGGGAATTGGAAATACCTCTGATACCAAACCATGTTGCTGCTCCAGGCAAAAGAGCAGATGGTATCTTCCACTCACCCAAGTCAGTCAATAGACTTAGTTCATGTGGCAGAAAATCCCACAAGCATCTTTCCTCATCCTTCATTGCAAAAATAATAAGATAAAAGAATACACTAATGAGGTAAACAACAACATGCTGCCACTTCATGACATGTAAATCCTACCCATTGAGACATCTGGCTCTGACTTCTGCATGAATAGCTAGACTGATGGCTTGAGATCAAAAGAAGGTGGAAGGCAGTCGATTACAGAGCTGTCATCTTGCAAATAGGTTGCGTGAACTGCTTTATGATTCCAAAGCTCTTTTCTCCTAAGGCTGTTTGGTATTCTTCCATCAGGTGGTGGATCCATCTAAAGGCATTGCAGATGTTCCTGAGTGGTTTAAAGGCAGCCGGTTGAACTATGCAGAGAACCTCTTGAAGCACAAAGAGAATGATAAAATTGCCCTCTATGCGGCACGTGAGTAGCACCTGCAAATGTTATTACACTGGCAGCTAAATTTGAATGAGGTCTGCTAATGCACCATTACTCAAAACCTTGATGCTTAGGTGTGTTTTTCTCTTCTGGACTAAATACAAGTCAACTTCCAGAATCATGGCCAAAACCTCCTTTCACAACCTTTATTTTAGTAGTCAGTAATAGGACTGTGCTTTCTGAACAATAGGACTGCCACAGTGATCCATTTTGGTTCTCCAGACATTTCAGATGTCAACTTTCAAGAGACCAAGGCAATATTGTCAGTGGTTGGGGGTTATGGACATCAAAATATAAAACTTCTAAAAGGTCAAAGATTGAGAACAGCTGATTTGGTGAATCCCAATATACCCTTATATATTTGTATGATGTCAAATGCCCATATTTAATGCGACGATGATGTGATCTCCCCCCCCCCCCGGTGCCTCAATGCACTGGGAACGGCACTGCTAATGCAGCTTTTTTTGAATGCAGGTGTTGGGTTTGTACCTTCACCCCTCTTTGTTTGTCGCCACTTTGTGAAATGAGCCCCTGAAAATCAACCTCTGCAAAAGCAAGATTGCCGAGTTACTGCGTATTTCCGTTAAATGTTCTGACAGCTGAATATCGCTACTTGGTGGTTCTTTAGTTGTGACTGTAAGGGTGTTGTTGAGATTTGTCGGTGCTAAGTGATTACCAAACCAGTTTGGAAATGTCCCAGTTAATCTTTTGTCAAACCTGCTCTCCCCTCCTTCGGGGCTTTCCTTCACTTGCTGAAGAAACCAGTAGACATGCTTGCGGAACCCTGAGTTCTGCCTCTCTTGCAGCCATGCCTTCCAGCTTCTCTTGGACAGATACCGGGTTTCAATGAATCCGTTGTCTTAATATAGACTGGCAGGTTAGCCCAGAAAACATACCCATTCTTTTCCATAAACACTACTCTGCATCAAGACCTAAGAAAGAATGGGCTCCCAAATTGCCTTTTGTAACTGTCACCTGTAATTTTACCAACCACTGTAGGTTGTTAAAGTGGCCTCCCCCATAATTTACAGTTCAGATGTGTTGTTGTTGTTATATTTATTTTTACTCCACTGAGGAGCCCCCGGTGGCACAGCAGGTTAAACCACTGAGCTGCTAAACTTGCCGCAAGGCTAGCAGTTCGAATCCAGGGAGCGGGGTGAGCTCCCACTGTTAGCCCCAGGTCCTGCCAACCTAGCAGTTTGAAAACATGCAGATGTGAGTAGATCAATAGCTACTCCTCCAGCGGGAAAGTAATGACACTCTGTGCAGTCATGCTGGCCACATGACCTAGGAGGCATCTACGAACAGTGCCGGCTCTTTGACTTAGAAATGGAGATGAGCATCCCCCCCCCCAGAGTCGGACGCAACTAGACTTAAATGTCAAGGGAAAATTTTACCTGTTATATCTTGCTTTATCTCTCCAAAGGGGACTCAGACCGGCTTGACATAAAAGGATTGGTGTCCAATTTAAAATATACAAACATTAAAACAGAATTAAACACAAATAGCATTAAAATTTTCAGATATAAACCATCAAAACATATTCAAAGTTAAAAACTATAGCATCCCCTGGCTAGATCTTAAACACCTTCATCTTTACATGCCTGTTTAAATAAAAAGGTTTTAGCCTGCCACCAGAAGGACAGCAGGGAGGGGGCCGTTCTGGCTTCTCTGGGCAAGGAATACCAGAGTCAAGGGGAAGTCACCAAGAAGGAAGGCCTGCTCTCTCATTCCCTTCAACCAAACTTGAGATGGAGGTGGGAGCGAGAGAAGGACCTCTCCTGAAGATCTCAGGGCCTGGGCAGGTTTGTACAAGGAGATGCGGTCAGCCAAATAACCTGGTCCTGATCTGTCTAGGGCAGTGTTTCTCAACCTTCCTAATGCCACGACCCCTTAATAGAGTTCTTCATGTTGTGTTGACCCCCAGCCATAAAATTATTTCCGTTGCTACTTCATAACTGTAATGTTGCTATTGTTATGAATCTCAATGTAACTATGAAGGATGTATTTTTATTCACTGGACCAAATTTGGCACAAATACCCGATACACCCAAGTTTGAATACTGGTAGGGTTGGGGAAGGATTGATTTTGTCATTTGGGAGTTGTAGTTGCTGGGATTTATAGTTCAGCTACAATCAAAGAGCATTCTGAAACTAACCAATGATGGAATTGAACCAAATTTGGCACAAAGAATTCCTATGACCAACAAAAAATACTGGAAGGGTTTGGTGGGCATTGGGCTTGAGTTTTGGAGTTCTCCTAATGATCAAATGCTTTATATCAGGGTTAGGGCCTCTGAATATTCTCGATCTTTGGCTCCCAGAAACCTCAGCTAGCAGGGATGATGATAGTTGTAAGTCTTAAAAAAGACCCCATTACCTGTACTGGCAACTGGCTGTTTTGCTTAGCCCCAATGGGAGTTGTACACCAATGGGATGAGAGTTATAGACCAAAACATCTGGAAGGACCAAGGCAGAGAAAGGCTTGCATTAGCAACCAGAATTTCCTGGGATTTGGTAAGGAGCTATCATCCCTAGTTCTCTGAATAAAGAGGTGTGGTTCTCTTCTTCCTCTTTGCAGATTATATATATGTGTGTGTGTGTAAAGCAGTGCTTTTCACGCAATAACATCATGCAGAAACTTACTGAAAGCATGGGGTGCAGACCCAAAGTTAATAAGAACGTCAGCCCTGGCCTTGTTTGACTCAACTGCTGAGTATGCCTGCCCTGTTTGGCACAAGTCTGTCCATGCAAAGCAGGTGAATATAAGACATGTAGAATAATCACAGGATGTCTCAAAGCTACACCTATTGATAGACTCTATATGCAAGCTGGCATTGCCCCCCCCCCCCCAAGATATGCAACGGGAAGTTGCTGCCAGTTGCAAGAGAAATCAGGTTGAACCCTGTGAAAGCCACCCGCTGCATGGCTACCAGCCTCCTCCCAGTAGACTCAAATCAAGGAAAAGCTTCATGAGAACCACCACTCCTCTTAATGTTCCTCCAGTAACAGAAAGAGCATCCCTCTGGGCAGCTAAACCAGGCAATTCCAACTGGATGGCTTTCCATGAGGGTCTTCCTCCAGGGGCAAACCAAGAATGGGCAGTGTGGAAGTTCCTGAACAGACTCAGAAGTGGAGTGGGCAAAATGGCAAAATGGCCCTTCCTAGAAGAATCCTCCACCTTGTTCAACTGTGGAGCAGAGCAAACAACTTCACATCTGTATACTTGCCTACAGTGCCTTGCCTCATGCACAGAAGAAGAATTGGTTAAAGCTACAGACAATGTGGTTGCTGTTGCTCGTTTTTGGTCTAAAATTATTTAGCTGCTTGTGCTTCCTTTATCAGTTTTATACTTATTTATGCAATGCTTTTGACACAATTTTTTTAATAAAAAAAAACACTTATAGTCCACTTTACAGAAAAAAAATGCTCTCTGAGTGGCTTATATATATTATTTATTTACAGTATTTATATTTTGCCCTTCTCACCCCACAGGGGACTCGGGGAGGATTACAATGTACACATATATGGCAAACATTCAATACCAAAGACACACAACAGATATAGACAGACAGTCAGAGGCTATTTAACTTTTTTTGGCCACCAGGGGAGCTGTCGCTTTCATTGTCCATCTGCAACACTGATTAAATACTTTCCGCATTCCCCGCATGCTTTTTGCTGGAGTGTTTTGCTGGAGTCTTTTTTTATGGCCTCGTAAATTAGTTAAATTAGCTTCCCCACACATAGGTGGTACCTAATTTTCCTACTTGACAGATGTAACTGTCTTTTGGGTTGCAAAGGTCGACAACAAGCTACACAATTGGTCAGATGCTCGCTCCGACCTGGGCTGGCTTCGAACTCATGACCTTTTGGTCAGAAGTGATCTTAATGCAGCTAACCCTCAGCCAACTGTGCCAAAGTCCCGGTGCAATATCAATTTAAAAAAAGACACAACACAAATGGAAAAGGAGGTGTGGAGGGAAAAGAGAAAGAAAACGCAAGCACAAATTCTTAATCTCAGTATCCTCTGCCTGGAGCAATAGCTGTTGGATGACAATGAGGTGAGGCCTCATTGAGTAGGGTTGCCAGGATGGCTGATGGTGGACCTGGTTACCTAGTGACTCCTCCTTCACTTCAATGCTGCATCAGATTGCAGTGTGGGATCATAATCCTGGGAGTGCAGAGCAATGCAGCCTTGCAGGACTTGTTGTACAGAGTTCTTTTGGAGTGTGGGTTGGGAAGCAAAGGGAGCTGTTTTCTCATGGGGCTGGGTTTGTATACCATTTGGGTTGTGTCATCTCAGGTTACCACATTTCCCCACAAGTGCTCTAGGCTGCCAGATGTATAGCTCTCCTGATGGGTGTGTATGATGCAGGGGTTTATGACTAAACATTGTCATTCCCTGTCCTCCTCCCCGCCTGCCTTTCTTGGTTCTTTATTTGTCTTAAGGAGATTAAGTCCTAAGTCAGTATGGGATTTTTATAGCTCTTGGTTCAATGTCAGAACAGAGCTTAAGGAGTCTGGCAGCAAGGAAAAGTGGTGTGGGTTCTTGCCAAGCTCTCAAGAGTGTCTTGGAAGGTTAGGAACCTGGGCAGCGCTCTCCATCCTGTTCTTCAAATGTTGAGCAACTCAGGTTTTACAACAGGGCTGGGGACCCTACAACTCCCATTAACCTCATCCAACAATAGATTGTTGGGGTAGTAATCCCAAAAAGTTTGAAGGACCAAGACTTCCCAACTTGCATTTTATAGTATGCCCAGTGGTTGACTTTTGAAACCTTGCAGTTTGCAATACATGCCTGTGCTAGTATTCTAGAGCAGTGTTTTTCAACCTGGGGGCTGGGACCCCTGGGGGGGTGTCACAAGGGGGGTTTCAGAGGGATCGCCAAAGACCATCAGAAAATACATATTTCTGATGGTCTTAGGAACCCCTTTGACAGAGAATGCTGAAGATCTCTCCACCTGTCCTCTTCGTTTTTGGTGTTGGTGAACTACAATTCCCAGAATTCAAAAACAGACCCCAACCTCATCAGTATTCAATGTTGGCCATGTAGTAGTGTGCCAAATTTGGTGCAGATCCATTGTGAACTGGGTTCAGAGTGTCCTTTGATTGTAGCTTGACTATAAATCCCAGTAACTCCCAAATGTCAAGGTCCATTTCCCCCAAACTCCACCAGTGTTCACATCTGGGCATATTTAGTATTCATGCCAAGTTTGGTCCAGATCCATCATTGTTTGAGTTTAGTGCTCTCTGGAGGTAGGTGAACTACAACTCCAAAACTCAAGGTCAATGCCTACTGAATCTTTCCAGTATTTTCTCTTGGTCATGGGAGTTGTGTGTGCCAAGTTTGGTTCAATTTCATCATTGGTGGAGTTCAGAATGCTCTTTGATTGTAGGTGAACTATAAATCCCAGCAACTACAACTCCCTAATGACAAAATCAATCCCCCAACAACCTCACCAGTATTCAAATTTGGGCATATTGGGTATTTGTGCCAAATTTGGTCCAGTGAATGAAAATATATCCTGCATATCAGATAATTTACATTACGGTTCATAACAGTAGCAAAATTACAGTTATGAAGTAGCAACAAAAATAATTTTATGGTTGGGGGTCACCGCAACACGAGGAACTGTATTAAGGGGTCGTGGAATTAGGAAGGTTGAGAAACACTGTTCTAGAGTCAGGGAGAAAGATTCTCCTGATCCATCTCTTAATAGAGCCCAGTTCACAATTCTCTTCAGGCGTAGAGACAGAAATATGCATTTCTTAGTGCCAGTGATTGAGTTGTTGCACATAATTCATGTCGAAAGTGTCCTGCAGACTGTTAATGTCTCTTATAGGTATTTTTATTTGCATAAACCATGGGAAATGATTGTTCTTCTGGTTGCGGAGCCGAGTTCCTTGTTGTTCGACTCTGTTGCCATCTTTCCTTACTATGGAAAGAATGATGCTGCTCATAAGACACAATTTTGAAATCAAGGATGCCTTGGTTTTAATGACTGAACAACAGCTTTCATATTTACTTGGGGGTGTGTGCATGTTATTCATTAGATCTGCCTTCTCTAACTTGAAGGCTGATCTTGTGTTCAAAGGCAACTCCCCTCATGCCCAGTGGCCATGCTTGTTGGGGTGATGAGAGTGGTAGCCTAGCATCCCTAGAGGGAGGAGGAATGTTTTGCCTTCCATTCCCAGCATTTCTCACCACTGGCTACACTGACTTGGGCTGATGGGAGTTGTAGACCAAAACATCTGAAGGGCCACAGATTTCCACAAACTGGAAGTAAGGGAAGACTTCTTTAGATGGATATCCTGCTTTTCTTTTGCCCCCCTTGGCCCATTTGATCTTTTTAGCCATCCTGGTGAGTGAGATTACAATGTCCAGGAGGTTCTATAATTCAATGTTGAACTGGAAGACATATTAGTCATATAACACATAGCTAGTAGTCAGGAATGCTGGGTGTTGCATCGGTAAAAACAATATAAATATATTGTCTGATACTGGAAACTAAGCAGGACCAGCTGTAGTTAATACCTAGAGAGGAGATCTCCACCAGGGCTGTCCAGGAAGTGCTCGAAGCAAATCCTGCTGGAATCTTTGGAGATGCTGAGTTGATAGTATTGAGGAACCTACATAATGTTGTTGAAGGCTTTCATGGCCTGAATGACTGGGTTGCTGTGAGTTTTCTGGGCTGTCTGGCCATGCTCCAGAAGCACTCTCTCCTGACATTTCACCCACATCTATGGCAGGCATCCCCAGAGGTTGTGAAGTCTGTTGGAAACTAGGCAAGTGAGGTTTGTATATCTCTGGAATAATGTCCAGGATGGGAGAAAGAACTTTTGTCTGCTTGAGGCAAGCGTGAATGTTGTAGTTGGCCACCTTGATTAGCATGGAATGGCCTTGTAGCTTCAAAGCCTGGCTTCTTACTGCCTGGGGGAATCCTCTGTTGGGAGGTGATTGGCTGGCCCTGATTGTTTCATGTCTGGATTTCCCCTCTTTTCTGAGTGTTGTTCTTTATTTACTGTCCTGATTTTAGAGGTTTTTTTTTTAAAAAAAAAATACTGAGAGACAGATTTTGTTCATTTTCATGGTTTCCTCCTTTCTGTTGTAATTGTCCACATGCTTGTGGATTTCAATGGCTTCTCTGTGTATTCTGACATGGTGGTTGCTAGAGTGGTCCAGCATTTCTGTGTTCTCAGATAATATGCTGTGTCCAGGTTGGTTCTTCAGGTGCTCTGCTATGGCTGACTTCTCTGGTTGGATTAGTCTGCAGTGCTGTTCATGTTCCTTGATCCGTGTCTGGGCAATGCTGCTGTGTTTGGTGGTCCCTGTGTAGACTTGTCCACAGCTGCATGGTATACGGTAGACTCCTGCAGGGGTGAGAGGATCCCTTTTGTCCTTTGCTGAACATATGATTTGTTGGATCTTCTTAGTGAGTCAGTAGATAGTTTGTAGGTTGTGTTTGTTCATCAGCTTCCCTATGCGGCCAGTGGTTCCCTTGATGTCTGGTAAAAACACTTTTTATCTTGGTGGATCTTTGTCTTTACTCTTGTGGCTTGTTCTTGATCTTGCAGTTCTTCTGATGTCTGTGGTAGAGTCTTCATTGGCCTGTAGAGCCCAATTTTGGTGGTTCAGTTCACCTTGGAGGAGGTGGGCTTTGCAGATTCAGAAAAGCTGCAAGACTGAGAACAAGCCATGAAAGTCAAGACAAACAACCCATGTAACCCTGGGATACATTTTGGAAGAGGTTCAAGTGGTCCCTGGAAGAGTCACTTTTTTTTTGTTTACTTACGCAGGGTTTATCTGACCTGTCCCCCGTCCCCAGTTTCACCTGTGCACAATATTAGGTTTGAATAAGAAGTCTGCAGAAACATGTTTAACTGCTCTTCTTCTTTTTCTTCATGACGTAGAATCCTGTCCCTATTCTATCCATGTTATTTCTACCCGCTGGTTTCAGAGTTCCTGCAAAAGAAGTAAAGCCCGGGAACAGACATACTTTAACTTAAGACATACTGAGGCTTGTGGGAATTCTTTCCACAAAAGAGCCTTGTTGCCCTCTCTGCAGTCTTCTTCCCTGTCCTTTCTTGCTTCTTTATGTAGTTGTGCGAATGGAACCGATCTCTGTTTAAACCACTTTTTTTCTCTACAGAGGAAGGAAAGGAAGAAATTGTGAAGGTGACTTTCGAAGAGCTCAGGCAGCGAGTTGCTCTGTACGCCGCCGCCATGAGGAAAATGGGTGTGCGGATAGGAGACCGAGTTGTTGGTGAGTTGGTCTCTCTTTCTTTCTCTCCCTCCACCCGGTTCCTTTGGCTCCCCCCTTTGAGGCAAACATTCACATGAAGGGGGCCATTATGCTTTATGTTTATCTTCAGGTAAAGTGAAGCCTTGACGGTCGCTGCTTTAACAGATCCCAAATTTCCACCTCTAGAGGCAATGAACGGGGCTTGCTTCACTGCTGTGTCCATGCTAATCTAGCACTTTGATAGCAAAAATACAGGTTTTATCATATTGTTTTTGGGTCCATGATTTGTTCGAAATAGGGCTGGCTGAAGTGAACCACTAATTTGTTGTCTGCACTTCAAAACCTCTGTATTGTTGCTGTTTGAGACATTGAAAGATGTTTAGGAGCTTCGTCTAATGTGCGTATGTAGTGGGTCAAAATGTTTTGCCTCCTGTGTCATAAAAATGTGATGAATGAACCTATAACAGCAGAAGTTGCTCCAGATCATGGCTTGAACTGTTCTCTACACAAAACTACCGTTCAACATAGTCACCATCAGTTTGGACACATTTGCACCATCGTTTAACCCAGGCATCAAAACTATTTTGGAAAAATTCAGGGTTTGGCTTCGTGACCCGTGATTTTAAAGCTGTTTTGACGTCATTCAAGTCATTGAATCAGAAACCATGTAGGTTGCCTTTCAGCGGTCCAAACAGGTAAAAATCAGAAGGGGCCAAATCAAATCAATCATATTCTTCAAGCAATGATGGATTTCCTTAGGTCAGGCATGGGCAAACTTTCCAACTTGGGGGCAGCATGACAGGTTGGAGCGGGGTGGGTGGGCCGGGAGGGAGGGGTTCTCCCCAAGTCCCCTCCCTGCCCTTTCATCCCCTTCCTTTTCTCTTTCGGAGGCAGAAAGTGAAGGAAAGATGGGAAACGTTTGGCTTCCGAAAGAGCTGGTCATGGTCAGGATGAGATGGTGGATGGGAGAGAAAAAGTGTATCCATTAGATCCTGTTTTGCCTACTCCTGATACATAATCCTAGAATCCAAGAGCTGGAAGAGACCCCCAAGGTCCATCCAGTCCAACCCCCTGCCATGCAAGAAGGCAAAATTGACACATTTCCGATAGACAGCCCCTGCAGAAAAGCCTCTAGAGAAGGAGACTGCACCACACTCCCCGGCAGCCTGTACCACTCTCCAACAGTTCTTACTCTCAGGAAGTTATTTCTAATCTTTTCAGACAAATCTCTTTCCCTGCCATTTGAACCCATTGCTCCCTTGTACCCTGGTCTCTAGAGCAGCAGAAAGTCAGTTTCCCTCCCCCCACTCCTCAATACGACACCCATTCAAATCTTGAAACATGGTTCTCATGTTCCCTCTCTACCTTCATCCAGAGCACACTATGAGCCCAAACAACAATGGATTTGGACCAAACTTGGCATGCATATCTGATATGGCCAAATTTGAATACTGGTGGGTCTTGATGGGAATTAATCTGGACATTTTGGAGTTTATTTATTTATCTATTTATTTCACAGTTTTCTATACCGAGCTTCTCAACCTCATTGAGGGACTCAGCCCGGTTTCCAGCCATAAAAAACATATACACTCATTAAAATATCATATATCACAATTACAAAAACAACTTTAAAAACACTATATATAAAACTACAGTGGTCAGTCATCCTATTAAGATGAATCTACATCAACTTCCATCCAGGGTCCTATGGTGTTGTCTCATTCATCGAAAGCCTGACTCCACAGCCACGTCTTCACCCGTTTCCTAAATGTTAGGATGGATGGGGCGGTTCTGGCCTCCAGAGGGAGAGAGTTCCAAAGTCGCGGGGCCACCACCGAGAAGGCCCTGTCCCTCGTCCCCACCAGGCGCGCTTGCGAGGCCGGTGGGACCGAGAGCAGGGCCTCTCCAGACGATCTTAGTAGCCTTGATGGTACGTAGGGGAGAATACGTTCGGAGAGGTAAACAGGGCCGGAGTCGTTGTAGGTACTGGGATTTATAGTTCACTTGCAATCAATGAGCACTCTGAACTCCATCAAAGATGGAATCGGATCAAACCTGGCACACAGAGCCCCCATGACCAGCAAAAATACTGGAGGTCTTTGGGGGAAATTCACCTTGATTTGGGGGAGTTCACCTACATCCAGAGAACATGTGAACCCAGACACTGATGGATCTGGACCAAACTAGGCACACATACCCGATATATTGAAATTTTATTACTGGAGGGGTTTGGGAGGAACTGACCTTCCTTTCTGGGAGTTGTAGTTCACCCACAACCAGAGAAACCCTGACCTCCACCGATTATGGAGCTGGACCAAACTTGTCACACAGAACCCCCATGACTTACTGGAGGGGTTTGATGGGACTGACTCACCATAGTGGGAGTTGTAGTTTACCCTACAGCCAGAGAGCACGCTGAACACCATCAAAGATGCATCTAGAGCAAACTTGCCCAGCATAACAAACTGATGGAGTTTCTCAGAGTTAACCTGGCATGATTTCACTTGTACATAATCCACAACCTTATGCATTTTGTATAATAAAAAACTGACTTTTTCAACTAATCTGGGCCACGCTGGGTACCTAAGCTAGCAGCAGCAGCAGCAGCAATAATAATAATAATAATAATAATAATAATAATAATAATAATAATAATTCTTGCTCTCCTCTCCTTGTGGCTCAAGGCGGGTTACAACATTGCCTTGAGCCACAACCATCTAAAACATTCTACACATACACATATTAAAACATATTTCTACAAAATACATATTATAATACACAGAACAAAGATTAAACAGAAGATGCAACTTTAAAATTTATGAATAAAACTGGCTGGTGAAAATGACAAGATTTTATTAGGAAGCAGACAAAGGCATCAAAGAAAAAAAATGAACCCAACAAGTCTATATATTAAACAATGAGAAAAATCCCCCAGCCTTGTGCCAGTCTGCAGCATCTTCCCAAGATTAGGTTGCAGAGAGGTTTAGCTGGACTGAATTGTAAGGGTTTTTATTGCCATGTCGAATAAATAATCACTCTGTTTTCCTTAGGTGTCTTATCACCCAGATGTGTGAGCAGTAAACATTTGTGCATGATCCATTAGTTAAATCAAAACATGATAGATAAGCCAAGCGAGTGAACAGCAACCAAATAACCAAGTGAGTCAAGGGAAGCCAAAACCAACTAATCAGAGGGTATCTTGCTGTACTCCAAGACCACATCCTTCCAATTAATTCTGATCTTTAAAATATCCCATAAAATGGGCCCTTAAGGTCCTTTTGGGGAGATAGAACAATTGTGGCACACCATACCTATATCATCGATATACAAGGTCTTCTGCAATGTTCCTTTGCAGCAGCGTTTCTCAAACTGGAGGTTGGGACCCTTGGGGGGGGGGGTCACAAGGGGGTTTGAGAGGGTTCTCCAAAGACCATCGGAAAACACATCTTTCTGATGGTCTTAGGAACTCCTTTGGCAGAGAAGGCTGAAGTACTCTCCGCCTGTCCTTCTCTTTCTTTTTGGAAACAGATGGCAAATCCTCCCACCAAAAGCCCTCCTCCATTGTGATTTGCCGGCCTCTCAGCCAGGGGGAGGGCTGTTTCTGAGCAGGAAGGGGAGAGCAGGCATGCTCAGCACATGGCAGCATCGTGCACATGTGTGGGCGACGGAGAACGTATGAGGCTGGAGGGAGGCTCATGTTATCGAATCTCTTCAAGGCAGGGGGGGTTCTGTGTGGGAAGTTTGGCCCAATTCTATTGTTGGTGAGGTTCAGAATGCTCTTTGATTGTAGGTGAACTATAAATTCCAGCAACTACAAATGTCAAGGTCTATTTTCCCCAAACTCCACCAGTGTTCACATTTGGGCATATGGAATATTTATGCCAAGTTTGGTCGAGATCCATCATTGTTTGAGTCCACAGTACTCTCTGGATGTCGGTGAACTAAAACTCCAAAATTCAAGGTCAGTGCCCACCAAACCCTTCCAGTATTTTCCGTTGGTCATGGGTGTTCTGTACGCCAAGTTTGGTTCAATTCCACCATTGGTGGAGTTCAGAATGCTCTTTGATTGTAAGTGAACTATAAATCCCAGCAACTACAACTCCCAAATGACAAAATCAATCTCTCCCCTCAACCCCACCAGTATTCAGATTTGGGCGTATCGGGTATTTGTGCCAAATGAAAATACACCCTGCATATCAGATATGTGCATTACAATTAATAACAGTAGCAACATTACAGTTATGAAGTAGCAACAAAAATAATGTTATGGTTGGGGGTCACTGCAACATGAGGAACTGTATTAAGGGGTTGCAGCATTAGGAAGGTGGAGAACCACTGCTCTACAGAGATTGCTCTAACTGCTGGCCCCAAGGCTGATGTTGGCAGTTGGCCCTTCAAAATACATAGTAGGATGGGCTATCAGAATCCCCCTAAATGACATACTATGTAGTTAGATGCTACCCCAGAATAAAAGGCCTTTTCTCCCCTATGTATAAACTGTATGGAACATTGGTTAACACTATCAAAAGGTGGATATTTTTTCAAGCTTTTTCTGCTGAAAGACCTGGAAAGAGAAGCAGGAGATGTAGGGCAAGGCGGGATGTAGTCCGGTGGTGCGTGGGGCCAAACAACAGCACACCATATTTCAGCCTTAAACTCTTACTTTCAGTAACCAAGCCTTAGTGGAGTCATTTTACCATTTTATGAATGGGGAGGGACCCATGGAAAAGTTGGGAAACCACAACAAGACAATGAGAATGTTTCCTGTCATGCTCTTAGCTTGAACTAGGTCATCTACCTCCTAATGCTAGGTGGCCTCCTAGGATAAGGTGATGATTGAACGTGGTTCTACTTCCTCCTACGAAGGCAACTCTGGGGAGATTCATTCCCCAAATGTCAAAAGGTTCACTGGAACCTGAAGAGCTTGTGGCTTCCTTTGCCTTGAGGGAATGTTCTTGATAGAAGCCAGAGGCTGCCAGCCTCTTACAGTTCATCCTGACTGAAAATTTTGTAACTTAGCTTGTTTAGGGTTTGAACTTTGAGCTGGAAGAACTGGAAATGTTCCTTTCTCTCGCCTTCTCCCTTTTGAGATAACGTGTGGATTTTTTTGGGATGTGGGTGTGTGCAGCATTCTCCTTTGTGTCACTCACCTTGCCCTCCGGACTGTTCTCAGGAATAATTGGAAGAATGAGAATTGTCACTTAAGCACAGAGCTTGTTTTGAGGCGACAACTTCTAGTATTCCTCGGCCATGCTGGCTGAGGGATGCTGCAAAGTTGTAGTTCAAAAAAGCAACTTTTACAGTACTGTTGAGGCATGGGCGTGATTTTTTTATCATGTCAGAAGTGACTTGAGAAACTGCAAGTCTCTTCTGGTGTGAGAGAATTGGCCGTCTGCAGAGATGTTGCCCAGGGGACGCCCGGATGTGTTATAATCCTGTGGGAAGCTTCTCTCATGTCCCTAGATAAGAAGCTGGAGCTGACAGATGGGCGCTCACCCCACTCCCCAGATTCAAACTGCTGCCCTTAGGTCAGCAGTTCAGGCAGCACAAGGATTTAACCCATATGTGCATGATGCCAACGTATTTATAACTTGGGGGAGGTTAGCTTAAATTTGACCTCTTATTCCCCTCTCCAAATTCCTAGCCTGATTTTACAAAACTGCACAGATCCCCTACTCTAACCTTCAGTTGGGCTAACAGTAGACTGTTTTAATATTTATTCACGTGGCATTAAACAACTAAAAATGACAACAGTAGGAAGATACCTCGTATGAGTTATACATACACATGATTGGTTTATTCAGCCTTTTCATGTTGAGTGACAGCAAGAATGCTCTTGCTTTTTTGTGAGCCCTGCCTGTCAGTTCTGTAGATTGGAACTTCTATATACAAGACATAGACTTTCTACCAGTGAGCTATGATCCTAGCTTCACAGTATGCACTAGCTTAGTGTTTTGAAGCAGAGTGATTGAAAATGTCTCTCCTAGTTCTATTTCTGTGTGTCACTCTTTTTTAAAAATATTTTTTTTTATTTATGGCATTTATATGCCGCCCTTCTCACCCCGAAGGGGACTCAGAGCAGCTTACAAGATATATATACACACAATATATTATATTATTAGCAAAGTACAATATCAGTATTATATATTACTATATTGTACTATACCTTTATATTGTAACGTTATTAGTAATATTATATGTAATATAAAATATATAATTATAATATTGTATTATTAGTATTATATTGTATTACATTACAATATTATAAATATTATATGTATATACAATATATTAGAATTATAATATATTATTGTATATACATATAATAATTATAATTTTTATAATAGCTCACAAGGATGCTGCAGAAGTTGACCCATCTCAGGGAGGATTGAAAAGAAGCCCATGTTCCTTAGACCGAGGCTACACAAAGTAGTGGTCCATGGACCAGTGTTGGTCTGTCAGCCTTTGTCTTGCTGCTCTGTTGCAAGTTTCCAAGAAATGAAGTTGATGTAACCTCTAGGCACAAATATGGTGCATGAGTTGGGAAAAACCTTGCCAGTCCTCCACATCAAGAGCTTGGAAAGCATTACTTTAGGCCAACCTACGTCCTACTGGGCAACTGCTTCCCCAAATGCCTTACTTGGATATATATCCCTCCTTTCCTCCTGTAACCTCAGGGCAGTGTAAATGGGTATTTTAACCTCATGTCAAGAAAAGTGGGTCAGTCTGGGAGGAAGCTACTTTATACCAGTGGCACTTAAACTTTTCGAAACTAAACTAATCACACAAATGCTGTATGGAGCCCAGCTTGGCCTTTCCCCCCAATAATGCCCCACTAGAGTGTGTTCAATCAAAATTCCTAAGATCAGCTCTACAGGTTCCCAGATGTGTCTCTAAGGCCATCTTGGAATTGGAGACAGGGTTCTCCCCATGGTTAGAGGGAAGTTGTCCCTCTAACCATGAGGGATGACTTCCAGTCCACATGGACTAAAACAGTGGCAGTAAAGACTGCAACACTAAGTTTCTCCCAAGGACAGTTGCTAAGCATGAGATGGGACTAAGCGAAGGATCTCATTCAGCAACGGATCCTGAACACAGAGCGCTAACTCTATTTAGCCTGTTTCTCAGCCTTTATTGTTAAGGAAGCCAATAGATACCTCCCTGCCCCCATGGCACACCTAACAGACCTGGATGGGCTCAAACAACAAAGAGCTTTTACCCTGGCAAGATGTCATGCCCTCCCATCAGCTGTATTGGAGGGGAGGTATCGAAAAACCTTCTTCAAGGAGAATTATGCCCCTGTGAGTCCGGACACGTAGAAACAACTGAGCATGTGTTTCTTCAGTGCATGTTCTACAGCAGTATTTCTTGACCTGGGAGTCCGGACTCCTGAGGGGGTCTTGAGGAGGTGTCAGAATGGTTGCCAAAGACCATCAGAAAACAGTATTTTCTATTGGTCATGGGAAATTTGGCCCAATTCTATCATTGGTGGGATTCAGAATTCTCTTTGATTGTAGGTGAACTATAAATCCCAGCAACTACAACTCTCAGATGTCAAGTCTATTTTCCCGAAACTCCACCAGTGTTCACATTTGGGCGTATTGAGTATTTGTGCCAAGTTTGGTCCAAATCCATAATTGTTTGAGTCCACAGTGCTCTCTGGAGGTAGGTGAACCACAACTCCAAAACCCAAGGTCAATGCCCACCAAACCCTTCCAGTATTTTCTGTTCATCATGGGAATTCTGTGTGCTAAATTTGGTTCAATTCCATTGTTGGTGGAGTTCAGAATGCTCTTTGTTTGTAGGTGAACTATAAATCTCAGCAAGTACAACTCCCAAATGACAAAATCAATCTCCGCCTCCAACCCCACCAGTATTCAAATTCAGGCGTATTGGGTATTTGTAACAAATTTGGTCCAGTGAATGAAAATCCTACATATCAGATAATCCTACATATCAGATAATCCTACATATCAGATATTTACATTACGATTCATAACAGTAGCAAAATTACAGTTATGAAGTAGCAACCAAAGTAGTTTTATGGTTGGGTGTCACCACAACATGAGGAACTGTATTAAGGGCTCGCAACATTAGAAAGGTTGAGAACCACTGTTCTACAGAGACCTTAGAACTAATCTCATTACACCCTGGCGTCTAAAATACACAGGACACAGAGAAAAATATTATTCCACCCTGCTGCTTTCGGACTCTTAGCACTACAGTAACTTACAGTGTTGCTAAGTTTTGTGCTGCAGCACTTAAAATTAGACAGATGATGTTTGACCCCACAAGGCAACACCCTGTTGGGAATGTAGTTAGAGCAACATGTTACAGCTGAAATGCTACTAGACTTGTAATGTGCCCCTCCCATCCCCTTTAGTGCCCCCCAGTGTTTTGACCTCTCCTATCAGTCCCCCCCCCCCCTTGGGTTCCATACCTGTTACATTAACCTGTGTTTTAAACTCTGATTTTAAACTGTTTTCTAATCTGATTTTTAAATAAGTGCTTCACTGGGGAGCTGTGTTTACCCTTTCCAGGGCTCTTGTGCCCTGCTTTGTGCTGGTCAGTGACCATAATCAAGTTTTGTATTGTATTGTATTGGGTCAGTCTGAAAGAGAGTATGTGTGTTTGGTCATGGTCGCCTGGTGAATTGCCTGGTCCAGAGCAGACTTGGATCAAGATTTCCCAGCCCAATATTCTAACCAACCACTGCACTTGGGTTTCACATTTCTGGAGGTTGTCTTCACCCCACTGCATGTGCCCCACAACTCAAAAGAGCTGGGGGATGAATAATAGAATCATATAGTTGGAAGAGACCTCATGGGCCATCCAGTCCAACCCCCTGCCAAGAAACAGGAAAATCGCATTCAAAGCACCCCCAACAGAGGGCAACCCAGCCTCTGTTTAAAAGCTTCCATAGAAGGAGCCTCCACCACCCTTTGGGGTAGAGAGTTCCACTGCTGAACAGCTCTCACAGTTAGGAAGTTCTTCCTAATGTTCAGGTGGAATCTCCTTTCCTGTAGTTTGAAGCCATTGTTCCATGTGCTAGTTTCCAGGACAGCAGAAAACAAGCTTGCTCCTCCTCCCTGTGACTTCCTCTCATGTATTTATACATGACTATTATGTCTCCTCTCAGCCTTATCTTCTGCAGGCTAAACATTCCCAGCTCTTTAAGCCACTCCTCATAGGGCTTGTTCTCCAGAACCTTGATCATTTTAGTTGCCCTCCTCTGGACACATTCCAGCTTGTCAATATCTCTCTTGTGGTGCCCAGAATTGGACACAGGATGAGGCAAGAGTGGTTACAGAATGAGAGCTCAGTGTGTGTTTGCTTGCTGTTCTATCACCTGGTTGAGGTTTCTTTGATGATGCATTCCTGAATGCCAAGAGGATGGACTGGATGGCCTTTGTGGTCTCTTCCAGTTCTATAATCCTGTGACCTCTTCCACTGCTGTAATTGCTCCAATTTCCACAATTCTAGGTTATTTGCCCAATGGTATACATGCGGTGGAAGCAATGTTGGCAGCCGCAAGCATTGGTGCCATTTGGAGCGCAACGTCACCGGACTTCGGCATTAATGTAAGTAACATTTTTGTGCATGGATTCACCTTCAGATGGTTTCCCCTCCTCCAAGCCATTCCCCTCTCCAGGCGCTCATTCAGAGGAAACACACTATCTTTTGATGGGGTTATGCGTGGAGAAATATATTTGAATGTCATCAGCCTAGTGATAGCACCTCAGCCCCATGCCTCTGGAGCAGGCATCCTCAAATTGCAGCCCTCCAGCTGTTTGGGCCTCCAACTCTCAGTTGCCAGCTTGTTCAGTGGTTAGGAATTCTGGGAGTTGGAGGCCCAAACAGCTGGAGAACTGCAGTTTGAGGATGTCTGCTCTGGATGATTTCTCCCAGTCGTTTCATATACATATTAAACAGCATTGGGGATAGAATGTTTGTGGAATTTGCTCCCCAGTGAAATCAGATTGGCGTCCTCCCTTCTTTCTTTTAGGAAAAAACTAAAAGCATGGTTTTGGAGCCAGGCCTTTGGCTAAGTGGGCACAGCAGCACTTTAAATACAGAACCCGGACCACAGGACTGTTATGACAATTGGAAACGGCTATGTGACTTCGTGACTTTGTGAACATGTGATTTGTGACTGTGATTATGTGATTTTAATTAATGATACTGTCTTTAATCTGCTATTTATTATGATTTTAAATTGTGTTACTGATATAGTGGCATCGAATTGCTGCCTGTGTTAGCCGCCCTGAGTCCTCCCTCGGAGAAGGGCGGGGTAGAAATGATGTAAATAATAATAGAAGAGCACATCCCATTAAACTAGTCAGATATGGGCTAGGCAAAACTACAGTTAGGTGGATCTGTAATTGGTTAAGTGAACAAACCCAGAGGGTGCTCACCAATGCTTCTTCTTAATCCTGGAAAGAAATGATGAGTGGAGTGCCATAAGCAGGGTTCAGTTCCATCCTTCTCCCGAATCTCAGGAGCAGCGTGAACTCCCGCTGTTAGCCCCAGCTTCTGCCAACCTAGCAGTTTGAAAACATGCAAATGTGAGTAGATCATTAGGTACCACTCCAGTGGGAAAGTAATGGCGCTCCATGCAGTCATGCCAGTCACATGACCTTGGAGGTGTTTTTGGACAACACCGGCTCTTCAGCTTAGAAATGGAGATGAGCACCAACCCCCAGAGTCGGACACGACTAGACTAATGTCAGGGGAAAACCTTTACCTTTATCTACGAGAAGTGCATTTCTAGCCTCTAGTCATTTGTGATCTTATTTTTGTTGGTTGATTTTTTTAACTACAGTATATTCTGGCGTATAAGACTACTTTTTAACCCAAGAAAATCTTCTCAAAAGTCAGGGGTCGTCTTATACGCGGCTGTAGTCTTATGCATGGGAGTTGTCTTAACTCTATATTTTAACTGGAAAAGTTGGGGGTCGTCTTATATGCCCAGTCGTCTTATATGCCGGAATATACGGTAGTTCATTTGGCAGTCCATACGGTCCCAAGAGTGTCCCAGGGCAGAATATTGTTGCTCCTGTAATAAAAGTTGAGACCATGCCATGGTGAAAGATCCCAAAGCCTGCAGTGTTTTGTTCCACAGATTGGAAATATTGCCTCCTTGAAGATCAATTTCCAGCATGGTTGGTCAGTGAATGGCACAATGGGATCTGAAATTGCTAGTGTAATTGATGTTCCTGAGCTCAAATTGTTCTTGGAATACAGGGAACTAAATGCCCTTGGAGATCATGATGTATATACAGGATTAGTCCTACCAATTCGGATGCCACAGAAGAGCAGACAATGGTTAGTACTAGTAGCGGAGATTATTGATTTACTTTAGGTAAAATTCAATTACCAGTTTCAAGGAGAGGTCCTTCTGACATTTTCTTCGTCAGACGGCAAAATAGCTTGCCTCCGGCAGCAAAATCTCTTGGGTTGATCTTGTTTATGCGGTGGATACATCTCTCTTGGTTTCTACAACTTGAAGTCTTTGGAAAGCACAAATACATTCTGTCACATTTCCACACCAATTTTTTAAAGTAGTAAAAGCTGTAGGAACATTAATAGTTTTGGAAATATGCTAAACTTCTTGTTGTGGATGGGGTTGTACTTTCCTGAGAAGCAAGTGCTTGGTTTAGGAATATTGTTAGTTTCATTTTTGCCATTGGAGAGGGGGGTGGTGCTGAACGTTTGAATCCATGAATCCATGCTTGAGGATTGTCTTTGCCAGAGATTATTTAGCCATAGTTGTCCATGGTAACTTCCAAATTAATTATTACTTACTTTACTTAGAGCAATTCCTCATTGTCTGAGTATAATGGCCTTCCAAGTGTAGTGTCTTTGCGGTGATACATAGGTGACTAAGGAGCCCTATTTTTGACCCGCATATTCTTTCACAGTGAGGACATTGGTTTCCAGGTGGAAGGCAGTCCCTTGGAGGTGCCTATGGACAACATCGGCTCTTCAGCTTAGAAACAGAGATGAGCACCAACCCCCAGAGTCGGACACGACTAAACTTAATGTCAGGGGAAAACCTTTACCTTTATTTACCAGAAGTGCATTTCTAGCCTCTAGTCCAGGGGTCCACAAACTTTTTAAACAGAGGGCCAGGTCACAGTTCCTCAAACTGTTGGAGGGCCGGATTATAATTTGAAAAAAACATGAATGAATTCCTATGCACACTGCACATATATTATTTGTAGTGCAAAAATAAAACACTTAAAAACAATATAATAATTAAAATGAAGAACAATTTTAACAGATATAAACTTATTAGTATTTCAATGGGAAGCGTGGACCTGCTTTTGGCTGATGTGATACGATTGTTGTTGTTATTGTGTGCTTTCAAGTTGTTTCAAACTTAGGTTGACACTGAGCGAGGGCCAGGTATGACCTTGGAGGGCCACATCCGGGCCCCCGGGTCTTAGTTTGAGGACCCCTGCTCTAGTCATTTGTCATCTTATTTTTGTTGGTTGATTTTTTTTACTAGCTCATTTGGCAGTCCATACGGTCCCTAGAGGGTCCCAGGGCAGAATATTGTTGCTCCTGAAATAAAAGTTGAGACTGTATCATAGTGAAAGATCCCAAAGCCTGTACTTTTTTGTTCCACAAATTGGAAATGTTGCCTCCTTGAACATCAATTTCCAGCATGGTTGGTCAGTGAATGGCACAATGGGATCTGAAATTGCTAGTGTAATTGATGTTCCTGAGCTCATATTGTTCTTGGAATATGGGGAACTAAATGTCCTTGAAGATCATGATGTATATACAGGACTAGTCCTACCAATTCGGATGCCACAGAAGAGCAGACAATGGTTAGTAATAGCAGCGGAGATTATTAATTTACTTTAGGTAAAATTTAATTACCAGTTTCAAGGAGAGGTCCTTCTGACATTTTCTTCGTCAGACATCAAAATAGCTTGCCTCTGGCAGCAAAATGTCTTGGGCTGATCTTGTTTATGTGGAGGATAAATCTTAAGTAGCTGAGGGGGAAAAGGAAGGGGCCTGAGGCCAAGAATTGTGGGAATTGAAGTCCAAAACACTCGGAGGGCCAAAGTTTGCCCATGCCTGAGATAGATAGTACCTAGAGCAGTGGTTCTCAACCTGTAGGTCCCCAGATATTTTGGTCTTCAACTCCCAGAAACCCTAACAGCTGGTAAACTAGCTGGGATTTCTGGGAGCTGCAGGCCAAAACACTTGGGGACCCACAGGTTGAGAACCATGGACCTAGAGGGTCCGATAGTTTCCCTTTTGCTTATGTACAGTTGTTCTTCCCCATCAAGACAGTAGAGGACATCCTAATTCTCATCAATCCAATTGTGCAGAAAATCTTAACTTTTGAGCTTTGCCACTTCCACCTATAACATCATTTCTCAATCTGGGGTCAGGACCCCTGGGGGGGGGGTGTCGCGAGGGGGGTATCATAGGGGTCACCAAAGACCATCAGAAAATGCATATTTCTGATGGTCTTAGGAATCCTCCCACCAAAAGCCCTCCTCCTACTGTGATTGGCCAGTCTCTCAGCTGGTCTCTAAGCCAAAGGGAGGGCTGTTTCTGAGCTTCCAAGTAGGGAGGGGAGATCAGGCTTTATTTATACCCTGCTCCCATCTCCCCAAGGGACTAGGTGCGGCTTACATGAGGCCGAGCCCAAATACAACAGTACAAGCAATAACAACAACAACAACAACAACAGTACAAACAATTAAAATAAAAATATAGACAATAAAATATACAACATTAGCAATAAGACAACACACAATTAAAAACAGTGGGAAGGCCAAATGTAAAGTTAAAATTGGGAATAATGCTGGGACATGGACAAAAAGGTAATAGTGGCATTTGTGGAAGGGCAAATGGGCAGACCTAAAAAATGTAAAGTGCTTGGAGGACAAAGTGCTAAGGGATCATTATTCTGGGAAGGCACACTGGAACAACCATATCTTCATGCTCCTCCTAAAGACTGCCAGAGTTGGGGCCTGTCTGATGTCTTTAGGGCGAAGGTTCCAGAGTTGAGGGGCCACCACCGAAAAGGCCCTCTCTCTCATCTCCACCAATCATGCCTGCGAGGCTGGTGCGATCGAGAGCAGGGCCTCTCCGGATGATCGAAGGGATGGTGTGGGTTCGTATACAGAAATGCGGTCACGCAGGTAGGTGGGTCCCAAACCATTRAGGGCTTTGTAGGTAAYAACCTGCACCTTGAATTGGGTCCGGTAAACGAATCGCAGCCAGTGGAGCTCCTTGAATAGGAGGGTTGACCTCTCCCTGTAAGYGGCCCCAGTTAACAACCTGGCTGCTGCCCGTTGGATCATCTGAAATTTCCGGGCCGTTTTCAAGGGCAGCCCCATGTAGAGTGCATTGTAGTAATCCAGTCTAGAGGTGACTAAGGCGTGGACCACTTTGGCCAGATCCGCCTTCCTGAGGTACGGTCGCAGTTGGCGCACAAGTCTTAATTGTGCAAAGGCCCTCCCGGCCACCACCGACGCCTGAGCCTCAAACGTAAGTGAAAAATCGTAAGTGAAGAAGCATGTGCAGGCGAGGGAGAGTGCCTCCCTCAAACCRCATTCAGAGTTGTTCACATTGTGTGAAGTTTGGTCCAGATCCATCACTTGGTACACATTGCTCTGTGCAATTCTGTTGTTGGTGGGGTTCAGAATGCTCTTTGATTGTAGGTGAACTGTAAATCCCAACTACAACTCCCAAATGTCAAGGTCTATTTTCCCCAAACTTTACCAGTGTTCACATTTTGACATATTGAGTATTTGTGCCAAATTTGGTCCAGATCCATCATTATTTGAGTCCACAGTGCTTTCTGGGTGTAGGTGAACTTCAACTCCAAGACTCAAGGTCAATGCCCACCAAACTCTTCCATTATTTTCTGTTGGTTATGGGAGTTCTGTATGCCAAGTTTGTGTATTTGTGCCAAATTTGGTCCAGTGAATGAAAATACATCCTGCATGTCAGATATTTACATTATAATTCATAACAGTAGCAAAATTACAGTTATGAAGTAGCAACAAAGCATTTTTATGGTTGGGGGTCACCACAACATGAGGAATTGTATTAAGGGGTCACAGCAGAACTGCCATCATTGCAAGGGAGCTGGGACGCTTCAACATCGACATAGCAGCCCTTCAAGAGACCCGGAGAGCAGGAGAGGGACAGTTTTCAACAGACCTCACAACCTCTGAGGATGCCTGCCATAGATGCAGGCAAAACGTCAGGAGAGAATGCTACTAGGACATGGCCAGACAGCCCAGAAAATTCTGTTCGGGGCGTTCACTGCCACTGTTGTCCATCAGAGTCTGTATGTTCCACGTACCGAAGTTCATTTTTCTTTTTTGGCCGCAGGGTGGTAACCCCACTAGACGCGGCAGTCCAGTCAGGGATAAGAGAGACAGACTATGTTTAGGGCACCTTTTCTAGCCCCCTCCCCGTGTGGGGTTAGCAGAGTGGGTCCTCAAAAGGGCTGCTCAGTCGCGGATACAGCTGCCGAACTACTCAACTGCCTCGGACCTTGAGGTAGAATGACTGAGTCCGTACCCACCGCCCATGTGCCAGTCTGTGACTAGGAGCTTCCAGATTTCACAGCCCTGCCCCCGTGGCCACTCGCTGATCGCCATGGGACTTTGGTTGGTTTGTTTTTATTTTCTTTGGAAGACGCCTGTGCGTGAGTTTTTTTAATGTGTCAATAATAATAATAATAATAATAATCCAGTAAATAATAATAAGCACAAGCCAGTAAACGTGGTCCCAGTGGTGATCGGCTCAACAGGGCTATCTCTGCACTCACCAGACCTTTTTGGATTGTTTTTAAAATGTCAGACAAGGTGTAATATGAGTCGGCTGAAGAAGGAAACCTTGGCACAGGATGGAAAATCTCTTACTTTAATTCATAATAATAACAGCCTCACAAATGAGCAAAGGAGATTCATAATTTGTCAGTTTGAATCTTGTTTGTAGTAATAATAGTAATAATAATAATGTGGACTGCACCGAAAGAAGCTCTTGATCTAGTTAATGTCACTCCCATGGGCAATTGCTTGTTTTGTTTGCATGGGTCCATTCTTGTGCACCCATCTCCCCATGAACTTTAAGTATAGAAGATAACAATAACAATAATACTTTGTGTTAAAAAACAAAGTAAGGATTGTCGATGTTGCGATTTCAAGCGACAGCGGAATTGAAGAGAAGCAACTGGAAAAGCTGACACGATACGATGATTTAAAGATCTAACTGCAAAGACTCTAGCACAAGCCAGTAAAGGTGGTCCCAGTGGTGATCAGCACACTGGGTGCAGTGCCCGAAAACCTTGGCCTGCACTTAAACACAATTGGCGCTGACAAAATTACCATCTGCTAGCTGCAGAAGACCACCTTACTGGGATCTGCACACATTATTCACCGATACATCACATAGTCCTAGACACTTGGGAAGGGTCCAACGTGTGATCCAATAGAACAGACAGCAGAGTGATCTTGTTTGCTCATCTTGTTGTGTTTCAAATAATAATAATAATAATCATCATCATCATCATCATCATCATCATCATCATCATCATCATTATTTATATTTTGCCCTATCTCCCTGGAGAGATTCAGGGCAGATTCCAAACAAATAATAATAATAATAATAATAATAATAATAATAATAATAATAATAATCTTTATTTATACCCTGCCACCATCTCTCCAATGGGGACTCGGAGCGGCTTACATGAGGCTAAGCCCAAATAACAAATTACAATAGAGTAAAACCGAAAACACAAATCGAAAATGCAAACAATAAACAACAACAACATAATTACATAAAACATGTGAATACATAACAATATAAAATTACAATAGGCACAATAACAATGGGCGGGCTACATGTAATGATTAAAAGAGAAACTGATTAAGGCAAACATACAATGCCCAACATAACAACAGTACACTCACAGTAACGAAATTTGGCAGCCCAACATATGACTTAACAACTAAAATTAAAATTTAAAAAACCCACAACCTGTTAAAGGAATGTTTCTCTTGACTCTCGTTGGTTTGAATGCCTGTCTCTCTGTCTCACTTATTTCATACAGGGTGTACTGGACAGGTTTTCCCAGATTCAGCCCAAGCTGATATTTTCCGTCGAAGCTGTTGTCTACAATGGGAAAAAGCACAACCACCTGGAAAAGCTGCAGAATGTGGTCAAAGGTATTGGTTGCCTTGCTTGTAGGAATTGTTGACGGTGAACTTTGCTGCTCTTCCCTGGCCACACTTTTCCTCATGAAACTCATTTGTGTAATGAAGGGATCAAAAAATGGCAATCCTTAGGGAAGGACAAATGGTCAATAGTCTTGGCAATGGTTCTGGGTCTGTTGCTGTTTGGTCCTCCACTATATCTACTTGATTCAATTTTTTCAACCTCCAAACACCTTGATGGGGAGCATTTCCATAATGTTTTGGGACTTTCTTGGACCATGTTTGGCCCATTTCCACGAAGAACTGGAAATGAGAGGAAGTCACTTCCTCTTCACATTTTCCTTTCCAAAACAGCCTCTGGGGCTTCAGTTGGAAATGATATATGGGAAGACCCTGTTTGCCAGGCAGCATGGATTTAAGGCATTTAGGTCTTTGTAGGTCATATGTAGCACTTTGGACTGGGCGCAGATACAGAGTTGCCGCAGATTTTTCACGCAAACCTTGGAATCCTTCAAACCAGAATTACATGGAGGATATTGGCTCAAAAAAGTGGGCATAGAATTATAGAAATACAGTGTTTCTATATATAGGCTCTGATCAGGAATTTATTTTCACTTAACAATAGTAGTAGCACATCCTTTCATGAAGAAATCTATGTCTGTTCACCACACTCCAGCCTTCTTGGGGTCCTTCCACACAGCCATATAACCCAGAATATCAAGGCAGATAATCCAGAATATCTGCTTTGAACTGGATTATCTGAGTCCCCACTGCCATATAACCCAGTTCAGTGTGGATTTTATACATCTGTGTGGAAGGGGCCTTGATTTCAGCATCACGGGAGGAAAAAGAAGATTTCTGAAGCCTAACTCTGTCCTTAAACCATTAGAAACTGCTGACACTTGCTAATGGTCTTGTAAAACAGCAGAGGTCAATCAACAGACCCCAGTCTAGGTACTGCCCACTCCTGGTTTATGCACTCCATACAAACCAGGGTTGTATGGGTTTACTATTATGATTTGTAGGGAAGGACATTGAAATCATATCTTGCTACTTTAGAAAGCACAGGAAAACGTGCTTTGAGAAACCGCCAGGATTCTACTGAAGCCACATATGTGAAAAGAGAATGGAGGGCTCGGGTTCTGCTCCATTAGTAATAATAGTAGTAATAATAATAATGATAATAGTAATAATAATAATAATAATAACAGTACATTTTATTTATTACCCATCTCTCCTGATGTCTCGACGTGGGGTACAACAAATTTAAAAACATATTAACATAAAATATACACAATAAGTTACACAGTAATAGATTTTAAGCATGATATTTAAAAATACCATTGATACTTAATATTGTTTTAATTTTTATATATTTGTATATTTTAAATTGTATCGAAATGCTTTTATTGTAAGCCACTTTGTGGATACTTTCATGATTATTTTGTGAATATATTGTGTTTTTTGTGAATATTTTTGTTATGGCTATTTTTGTGAGTATTTTTGCAAACATTTTTGCAATTATTTTTGTGAATATTTTTTGCAAATATTTGTGTTAATATTTTTGTTATTAGTTTTGCGAATAGTTTCATGATTAATTTTGTATGTATTGTGAATATTTTTATGAATATTTCCATGATTATTTATGTGATTTTTTCATGATTTTTTGTGAATATTTTCATGATTATTTTTGTGAATATTTTTGCAAATATCTCTGTGATTATTTTTGGGAATATTTTCATGATTATTTCTGTGATTTTTGTTAATATTTTGTAATATTTTTTGATTATTTTTGTGTACTTTTATGAATATTTTTGTGAATATTTTCATGAATAGTTTTGAGAAAACGCACAGCAAACCAATAAACATAATAATATTACTCTTGTACTAAACACAGATACAGAATTGATAAATATACCATGGTTTATTGAAGCTAGATATTGTACATCTAAATGGGGGGACTCTTGGATGAGTTGAGTCTTGGAGCCTTGCCATAACAACATTCTACAGATTCTTGGGATGTGTAGTTTGATGAGTCCACTAGACCTCTCTGCCTGAGAATTCAATAGAATCCACGCCTCATGGTTCTACAGGATGCAGGCATGGCATTTAAAGGGGAATTGTGGTGCTATAGTTGCGTGCTGTGAAAAGGTCTCAGATATTAAGACTTTTTTTTTTAAAAAAAGTAGAATCAATTACTATTCTTACCATTTTATGTGAGTTTTTTTCTCTCTTGCAGGACTCCCAGATCTCAAAAAAGTAGTGGTGATCCCATATGTTTTCTCGAGAGAATCCATAGACATTTCCAAAATCCCAAACAGGTGGGCAAAAAAAATATATTATAGGCATATTTATTAAAACATTTAACTTTGAGCAATTAAGCTTAAATATTTAGATTTTAAAGTCTGCCACCTAAATTATTCTGCTAGCCTGACCATTGGATCCAAATGATGTTTCTCCCGTTCTTTAAAGATGGATCATTCATCTTCAGATGTTGGGCTGTGAAAAATCCTAGCCAGCATGCCTAATGATTCGGGCTATTTGGAATTGTAGCCCAGCATTATCTGGAAGCCTCAGCGATACATGACAGTAATGCAAGCTGCTGGTGGTGGCAAAAGCTGTGCTTCTGTGTTTACTCAAACTTCGAAGAGAGAAGCAAATAATGAATAATTTAGAAGTGTTACTTTGAGCAGGAAGACGCTTGTTTACTCTTCAGACCTGCAGTACTTAACAAGGATTCATAAGCAACTGGAGTTATGCAGAGATGCAGTGAACAGATCTTTTGCTTTTTTTGGGCCTGGCAGCTCCCTTGAATAAAGAGCTAGTCAATGCTAGAGCTGCACCTTTAACCGTAGTCACGTTTAGGCAATTTTCCTCTTAGCTGCATCATGGAATCTAAGAATTTGCAGCGGCATGTTCACTCAACACATTCAGCCATAGTTTGTGTTTATCATGATATATTGGTTCGCCATGAATTATCTGGTGAGGTCAGCCTTCTCAGAGCTGGAGAGGGGAGAAAGTGGGGGGAAGCGAAGGGAGGAAGGAAATGAAGAAAGGAAGGAAAAGAAAGAGAGGAAAGGAAAAGGAGAAAGAAAGGATAAGGGAAGGGAAGAGAAGGGAAAGAAGAAGGAAAGGAAAAGGAGAAAGAAAGGACAAGGGAAGGGAAGGCAGGAGAAGGAAAGGAAAAGAATAGTGTTCAGCCTGTGCTGAATGGGGTTACACTCCCTCTGAAGTCACAACTTGGGAATGATCCTGGACTCCTCACCGAGCCTGGAACCCCAGATCTTGGTGGCACACAATTAAAACTTGTGTGCCAGTTGTAGCCGTACCTTGAGAAGCCAGACTTGGCCACAGTGGTGCACGCTCTTGTTGCATCTAGAATAGACTAATGCAACGCGTTCTACATGGGGTTGCTTTTGAAGACTGTTCAGAAGCGTTAAGCGGTTCAAATTGGACAGCAGCCAGATTTCTCACCGGAGTGGCATACAGAGAGCATATAACCTCTCTGTTGCGTCAGCTCCATTGGCTGCCAATTGTTACCGAGCACAGTTCAAAGTGCTGGGTTTAGCTTATAAAGCCCTAAATGGGTTTGGCCCAGTTTAACTGTCTGAACGCGTCTCCCTCTATGAACTATCTTGGAGGTTAAGATTGTCTGGGGAGGCTCTACTCTCAGTCCCATCTCCTTCGAAGATGCAGTTGGTAGGGATGAGGGACAGGGCCATTTCAGTGGTGGCCCCTCAGCTGTGGAACTCCTTCCCCAGTGAAATTAGATCAGTTCCCTCCATCCTGATCTTCAGAAAAAAATTAAAGACCAAGCTTTTGGGACCAAGCTTTCAAACAGCAACTAATGCAATAGGCAGCTATGAAGCAATTTTAATATGATTGGAATGGCTCCTGGACTATGGTTTGGATTTTGTTGTGGCCTTAATAGTTGATTTTAATGAATTAGGAGCCCCTGGTGGTGCAGCAGGTTCAATTGCTGAGCTCCTGAACTTGCTGACTGAAAGGTGGGCGGTTCGAATCTGGGCAGCGGGATGAGCTCCCACTGCTAGCCCCAGCTTCTGCCAACCTAGCAGTTTGAAAACATGCAAATGTGAGTAGCTCAATAGGTCCTGCTCTGGTGGGAAGGTAACAGCGCTCCATGCAGTCATGCTGGCCACATGACGTTGGAGGTGTCTACGGACAATGCTGGCTCTTTGGCTTAGAAATAACGATGAGCACCAACCCCTGGAGTCGGACATGACTGGACTTAATGTCAGGGGAAAACCTTTACCTTTACCCTTTAATGTATTGATATGTTGGATTTTTAATTTTACTGATTTTAATGTATATGTATACTGTATTCATATATCTATGTTTGTATGGCATTGAATTTTGCCAATTTGGAAGCCACTCTGAGTCCCCTTCGGGGTGAGAGATAACGGGCTAAAAACATAGCAAATAAATAAATAAACAAAATCAGGAGAAAGAAAGGAAAAGAGAAGGAAAGGAAAGAAGGGAGGGAGGTGGGAGAAAGAAAAAGGCGGGAAGGAAGAAAGGAAAAGATAGGAAAGGAAAAGATATGAGGGGAGGAAAGAAAGAAAGAAGGGATGCACTTGCTACTATTCAGATCAGTTAGAAGGTAAAACAAAAAATCCACAAGATAGTGAAGCAAAAAGGGAATAAAGATGGGATGGGTACCAGCCTCCTTTATTTGGAATTGCAGCTATACTGTTCATAAAATTTGTCACCATTTTTTAACCTCTTTTCAATTTCACCTCTCTGCCTGTCCCGTCCCGTCCCACTTTGTTGCCTATTTGTTTGTTCAGTGTCTTTCTAGAAGACTTCCTCGCAGCAGGGAAAGGAGAGCAAGCCCCCCAGCTAGAGTTCGAACAGCTTCCCTTCAGCCATCCTCTTTTCATCATGTATTCATCGGGCACAACCGGAGCCCCCAAATGCATGGCTCACTCTGCTGGGGTAGGTTTCGTTCCGCTTGGATTTACAGTGTCTGTATATAAACCTATCTGAGAACTGTCAGCCACAAGGGGTGGAATGGCATTGCCCGACCTGCAAGAGAAAGCTGGATTTCGCCCACCTGCGATGCAACAAAGATTGTGGTGGCCTGTTTAAGAGGTTTTTTTAAATAGTGTCAGAAACAACTTGAGATAACTGCAAGTCACTTCTGGTGTGAGGGAATTGGCCGTCTGCAGAGACGTTGCCCAGGGGACGCCTGGATGTGTTACCATCCTTGTGGGAGGCTTCTGTCATGTCCCTGCCTGGGAAGCTGGGGCTGACAGACAGGAGCTCACCCCATCTCGCGTATTTTAACCGCCAACCCTCAGCAGTTCAGCCAGCACAAGGTTTTAACCGATTGTGTCACTGTGGCTACCTGTTTAAGAGTAGCAGATGTGTTAGCTTTCCTCTTTGGCAGAGAATTGGTAAAGACCTTATGAACCTGCAACTCTCAGGATTGCATAGCGTTCAGCCACGGCAGTTGAAGTGGTATCAAACTTCAGTAATTCTACAGTAGTGGTTCCCAACCTTTTTTTGACCAGGGACCACTTGATCAGAGACCACTCTCCAACATTAGTACCAAAACGGTTACGAATCTGTTTTTGGTCAACTTTGGAGTTTTAATTGTTTTGTGAGCCATCTTGAACTGCAGCTGGTTATAAACATGGCAAAATACGAATGAATAGGTAAATGATTCTACTCTGGCATGAGCTTGCCATCAGAAGATGGTTGAGGAGTACCTTGGATTTTATTTTCAGCAATTCTAAAATGAACAAGCTGAGATGAAAGAAAGTGAATGATTCTGAAATTACTGTTAAGTGCAGTGTGGCTGGAGTGTTTTGGTGCTGTTTCTATACCTGATGTCTGAATGCATTTCCCCAGGGTGTTTTTGAAAACCTTTATTTTGGCTTTCTAACATAATTTGAACCTTCTGTTAGAGAGGCGCTATAATTTACATTTCCCTGATGCTTCTTGATGATACTTGTTGAAGGGCCAGTTGTCAGCTTTGAATTGAATAGGAATTTCAAGGCGGATGCTGCGCAGGTAGGAAGCGGAGATCTGAATAGGAACAAAATACATTATAATCAGTAGTTTTCACATTCTGATCTGAATGGAAATGTTTAGAACATTTTTTTCTTTTAGAAAATAGATTTGTTTTATACATAGGGCTGATTCAGATGGAAATTGCCAGACTATTGTTTCCAAGGGTGGCAGTATAGGTCTATTCCAGAAAAACAGCAAGAGTATTTGCTAGACCTTGGACTTTTGTGGATTACAGTCCACTGCCTTAGGGCGGTTCCACAGAACCCTTTAACTCGGGAGCAATCGCATTATAAAAACGTGATTGTTCCCGGGTTCTAGTCTATCTACCCCCCCCCCCCCCCCAAAGAAAGTGCATGTTTTCTGGATGTGTGTATGTCTAGATACCCTTCCAAAACCTTCTGAAAGGACAGGAAGACAGTCCCCACCCCATTCAAAAACCCCTTAAAAAGCATTTAAAAATAAAATAACATACCTGGCTACCATTAGACTGCTGCTGGAGCTCTCCTAGTGCATAAGAATGATACGCCAAGAGGGGGGGGGGGCGAGGAAAATAACCCCCCTTCTCCTGGCACATCATTTCTACATGCCAGGAGAGCTCTGACAGCACGTTAATAGCAGCTGGGTAAGTTATTTTATTTTTTAAATGCTTTTCTGGGTGGGTTGGGGAGGGCATTAGAACCCTCTCTGATATTCATGGAGGCCAGAAAATGCGAGAGGGCTGTGCGGACGGTGCATCCAGACAGTACCTAAAGTGCGCACCCTCCCTCGTTTTCCTGTGGGGCATCCAAACAACGGCCCTCGTAAACACAGTTGTATTAGGCACAAAGCAGGAAAATATTGCTTTGTGCCGAGGTGATTTGTTAGTGGAAAATATGTACAGCCCTCTCACATTTTCCTGCCTCCATGAGGCTGGGATATCCAAGAGGACTCTAATGCCCTCCCCAAACCCACTAGAAAAGTGTTTTAAAAATGACTTCCCCAGCCGGAGCTCTCCTGACCCGTAGCAATGTCACGCCAGAAGAAGCAGGGGGGTGGGCAGGAGCAATTTTTCTCTCCCCCCTCCCCCGGCATGTCATTTCTGTGTGCCAGGAGAGCTCCGGCAGCACTTTAATGGCGGCTGGGGAAGTTATTTTATTTTCTAAACTCTTTTAAGGGCTTTTGGGAGGGGATGGGGCTGTCTCCCTGTGCTCCTGGAAGGTTCTGGGAGGACTTTTGGACACTTCCCCCCAGAAAAGCACATGCTTTCTGGGGAGTGTATAGACTGGAACCTAGGAACAATCACATTTTAAAAACGTGATTGCTCCCGGGTTAAGGGCTGTGTGGAACCGCCCTGAGGGGGCTGTCCAGACTCCTCCCACAGTAGGAAAGACGTGGGCTTTTCAAGAAGACCCACGTTTTTCCCACTAACAAATTACCCCAGTACAAAGGGTATTCCTGCTTTGTGCCTAATGCAGTTGTGTTTATGCAGGGCATAGTTTGGACGCCCCACAGGAAAACGTGGGAGGGTGCGCTCTTTAGGCACTGTCTGAATCAGCCCTTTGATACAGGGAAGAAAACTCCAGGTGTATGTGCACAAGATACATGAATAGCTGTGTGATCAGAGTAAAACAAGGTGGTGAAAGTGGCACTGTAATACGTAATACCAGTTATTGACAAAACCGAGTGAGAAGGAAATCAGAATACTCATTAATACAGTTCTAAACCACTTCTAAGGTAAATCAGTAGATGTTTGTATTAGATAAGCCTATTCTTACCACAATACAGTACTATCACACTGCATATGCTTATCATATCACGATAACTAACAGGAATCAAGTTGCCTTCTTTAGCCAGGATGTTTGTGCCAACATCCTGATCCTGGGTAAATAAGGCAACATGTCTCTTGTTAGTTCCAACTACAGTAGATCCATTGGATCAATTGGATTTAAGAATGTATTTACTCACTACTCAACAATAGACACATGACTCAACATGCCTTTCTTGTTGTCATAACTTACTGAATGCCGGCTGTAGTGTGATAAGCATATGCATATGAATAGAAATGTCTATATAGCAGTTTGGCACTGTGATTTGCCCCTTTCAGGAATAGGAGCGCTGGGTTTAGGACTGTATTCATGAGTACTCAGATTTCCCTCTTACTCAGTGAAAATGGATGGTTTGCTGTCTCATGGTTTTCTGTTGCTGGGCAAATGGTGGTTAGGGAAAGAACTGGACAAGAAGCAGAATGACACAGCAGTGGGAAATGTTAAATATGTGTGAAATTTTAAAAGGGGAGAGAGAAAAGTCAGAACGACTCAACACCAACTTTTCCTCTGTCTTCTCCCAAAAAGAAAATAGTTCTCAACTTGGGCAAAATGCAGGAGATGATGCAATAGAGGAAATGCAGCATAGACTAGGTAAAGAGAGGCAGTACAGGATTATCTGGCTACACTAAATGAAGTCTAGTTTCCAAGGCCAGATGAATTATACTCGAGGGTATTAAAAGAATGGGTAGAAGCAATTTCAGAACCTCTGGCAATTTCCTTTGAGAATTTTTGGAGTTCTGGCAGAAGACTGGAGGAGTGGAAATGTTATCTCCATGTTCAAAAAGGGACAAAAGAGGACCCAAACAATGACCGTCCAGTCAGCCTGACATCAATACCAGGAAGGATTCTGAAGCAGATCATTAAAGAGGCAATCTGTAAGCACTTAAAAAGGAATGGCACTCACTGAAAGTCAACATGGATTTCTCAGATAAAGTTGCAAGCTTGATGGAGGTAGAGGATGCTATGAGTGTAGGGAATCTCGATTTTAGTAAAGGCCTTTGAGCGGGTCCCCCATGATAATTTGGAAAGATACTATTAAAATGTGGGCCTAACAAAGCTACTGTTAGGTGGATTGGGAATGGGTGGAATACATAAATCCAAAAGGGTTCTTCTGTCCAATGGGTCTTCTTCATCATCCTGGAGAGACATAAGAGAAGCCTCCCACAGGATGCATCCCCTGAGCAACGTCTCTGCAGACGCCCAATTCTCTCACACCAGAAGCGACTTGCAGTTTCTCAAGTTGCTTGTGACATGATGTAAAAAATCCTGGAGAGAAGGGACTAGTGGAGTGCCATTGGGGGGTTCTGTCCTAGGCCTATTCAACACCTTTATCAACAACTTGAATGAAGATTTAGAGGGGGCCCTTCAACATAGCCATAAAACCCAGAATATCAAGGCAGAAAATTCCACAATATCTGCTTTGAACTTGGTTATCTGAGTCCACACTGCCATATATTCCAGTTCAAAGCAGATAATGTGGGATTTTATTCAGCTTTGTGGAAGGGACCTCAGAGGACAGAATCAGAAGCAAAATAACTTTAAGAGATTTAGAGAGCTGGGCCAAAAGTAATAAAATGACTTTCAACATGGAGGAGCCCCCAATGGCACAGCGGGTTAAACTGCTGAGCTTCTGAACTTGCAACTGGAAGGTTGGTGGTTCGAATCCGGGCAGCAGGATGAGCTACCGCTGTTAGCCCCAGCTTCTGCCAACCTAGCAGTTTGAAAACATGCAAATGTAAGTAGATTAATAGGTACCGCTTTGGTGGGAAGGTAACGGTGCTCCATGCATTCATGCTTGCCACATGACCTTGGAGGCGTCTATGGACAACGCCGGTTCTTTGACTTAGAAATGGAGATGAACTCCAACCCGCAAAGTCAGACATGCCTAGACTTAATGTCAAGGGGAAATCTTTACTTTTATAAATCTGTTCTCCTTTTACCCAAAAATCATTTTGCAGTGTTAGCTCCTCCTTATGATTTTCCCTGTTCGTGTTACTCTAGAGATTGTTGCAGTCTTTCCTGAGTGGATTCAGGTTCTTTGCAATCAGCCCCCCTTGTTTTGCATGTCCCTTAGTTACAATGCTAAGTTCTGGCTATTTAGGGATGAAAAGATTGTTCGCAATTACTTCTCTTTGACTCTCAAGTTGAGACGATGTTTTGAAAGGTTTTTCTTTTCTGGGAAAACATTTAAGTTCGAAATTGAACTTAGAAAAGAACTTAGCCCAGCAAACCTGTTTTGTGTAGGTCTTTTCAATGCTTCCAAATTACAGTGGTGAGTGTAAACTTCAAAACTCCAAGGGTCCCCTTCAAGGAAATACTTCCAAGCATTCAAAGCAAGTTTTATGGTCAATTACACTCAGTAGTTGTAAATTTTCTTGACCAATAAGGGTCGTAATTCTCTCTTCTTCGTTTTTTGTAACAACACAGCTGGCATCTTCTTGAACCACAAATGGTTGATGAGGGTCTGGGTAACTCAGAATGGGCTCTGAACTAAACAAGTGATTTAAGTACCCGAAAGCCTTTTGGCACTCTCTTGTCCACTTTAATTTAACGCTGGGTTTGGTTTTAATTTATGAAACTTCCCCCCCCCCCCTTATTTTTTTTACGAATAGATTAGTGGTAGCACCACTTGAGCAAAATTAGGGATGAATTGTTTATAAAAGTTTGCAAAACTCTGAAATTGTCTCTAGATTTGTGGGAGTTCCCACTCCATCATGACCTGTGCTTTACCTGGGTTCATTTCGATACCAGTAGTGGAAATGTGACACTCCAAATAGTCCAGCTTTCCTTTGTGAAACCCGCATCTAGACAATTTCATATACAATGAACAGTCCAGTGTTGTTTTTTTCCCCAAAACTGTATGAACTGGGTTCACCTGCAGCACATAGTGCTGGGAGGAAATTAGTTATCTGAATATATACGATAATATAGTACCAAAGCATGTTTAACGTAGCCAGAGTAACCAATGTGGTATACATAGCAAAAGTACAATACAAAGCATGACAGGACCTAAAGATAGGATCCTGACAGATGGCAACTATATAACACCATGAAAAAGTCTGTAGTCCACAGAAGCTCATGCTGTGAGAAAGTTTGCCCTTTAAGGGCTCCATTGAATTTTACTACCAAGTGCAGGGACTGAGTTTTGGGTCATAACTGGGAGCCAGAATTTCTGGGGAATTGTCTAATATCATAAGGATAATATAAGGATATTAGACAATTCCCCAGAAATTCTCCCTCTTACACTTCTGGAAAAAAGTGAAAACGTGGCTATTTGAACAAGTCTTTGGAATCGAATGCAACAGTCTAACACGGTATTAGACGAAAGTGAACATTGGAACGGCTCAGATGATGATTTATGGACAATGAGACTAACAATGAAGGCATTGGTTTTATATGTTTTATTGAATGTATTTTTAATTCTGTTAATTGTATATTATTAGGCATCAAATTGCTGCCTGGTTGTAAGCCGTCTTGAGTCACCTTCAGGTTCGAGAAAGGCGGGATAGAAATATCATAAATAAATAATAAATAATCGCAAGCAAAGTGGAACATCCATGTTTTTAACTCGTTGTGAAAGATGGACAGGGTGGGTGCGAACCTAATCTCTCTGGGGATAGAATTCCAGAGCCGGGGGGCTACCACCGAGAAGGCCCTCTCCCTTGTTCCCACCAGCTGCGCCTATGACGGAGGTGGGAGTGAGAGGAGAGCCTCCCTAGAAGATCATAGAGATTGCGTGGGTTCATAGGGGAAGATGCGATCGCAAAGATAGGCAGGTCCCGAACTGTTTAGGGCTTTACAGTTGATAACCTGCACCCTGAATTGAGACCGGAAGGTTGCATCCTCATGTCTAGATTCATGAAATAACAGTGTCCCCTTCTGCGCAACAACTAAAGATAACATGCAGTTCTGCAACCCTATCTAACTTTTAGTAAAGTAAATAATACCAGTGAAGGTGCAAGAATTGGTTTTTCTCCGAGCCCATTTTTCCTTAGCTGTAAAATACAACACATTGCTTCCCCTCCTGTCACAATTCCTACATAGAAAGGTGTAGTGTGTGTTGTTGCGACTGCAAGGAAGGAGAAAATATTTAAATCTCCCTTCTGTTGTAGTGGGGTCTTGATGCTCCTAAATTAATGGGGGTAGGGACCTTGTCAACTGTTTGGGCTGTTGAACACATAATTAATGTCGTATCTGATCTGGTTCCTTCGCATTAATGCCTAAATGTGAGATAACAGAATTTTGCCACTGGAGGGCAGCCTCATGATGCTGAAGAACAGAGCAGGAAGCAGCTGGATTTAACAATTTCTTGCAAATGAAGCTGGTGTAGCATTGGAAGTGCTGATGACTTCAATCTTCAGTTCCCTAGGTTCCCTACATTCTTTGCTGTTTTTTTCCATTTTAAACTAACAGCCTGCAAAGAGTGTCGAGTAGCTTCCTAATTTTTTTCCCCAAGCTATATTTAGTTTTGCATCAAATCCCATAGTATTTCTGTTAAGGGAAGAGAAAACCCACTTAGCCTGGACAGAATTTACACTTAAATTCTTCTTTTTCAACCTCCCTTTTGATTTGGAGTCACCCAGTTTCCTCCACCCCCCCCCCAACCCACCCAAATATATTAGTTATGAAAGACAGCTACATGATTCCTACCCACGGCTCAAGGCGCAGTGCTCCTACAGACCATTCAGATGGTTCGCCCTACATCCCAGAATGCATCTCCCAGAATCCTTACCACTTTGCTAGGCAGGCTGGGGATGATGGGGGTTGCAGCCCAAGAAGAAGGCTGAGTTGCCTGACTGTTTAGGAAGACAGATTCAAGTTGCAGCCAGCCAGATCTGGAGCTGATGGGAGTTGAAATCGAGGGAAATCTGGGGCTGATAGGAGTTGCAGTCAGCCAGAACCCAATGCAAGAGGGCAGTAGAGCTACTAGAGCAGGCATGGGCAAACTGTGGCCCTCCAGGTGTTTTGGACTACAACTCCTACAATTGCAATAGAAGCCTATATCCTCAGGCTGTAGTCACTACACGAGGGACAGAGAAACTACTTCTTTGTGCTTCATTATGGTAGATAAGTTTGCTTATATGATCAAATTAGTTGACTGTGGAATACCTTTAAAAAGCCCATAGGAAAAGTCACTCCAAAAGCAAACACAGTACAATTCTTGTGTTCATGTGAGACAACCGAGCAATGTGATTGACAGTTTGGAATTGAAAGAACCAGCTGTGACCCAAAGAGGTCATTGGAGGGTTGCAGGAAAGAGCCAGCTGTTACCCCAAGAGGTCATTGGAGGGTTGCGGGAAAGAGCCAATGTGTGACATGTTCATGTTTTTTCCTAAAATATCTGTCTTTCACCCGTACCTCCAGGGAACATTAATTCAGCACTTGAAGGAACATATCCTGCATGGCAACATGACCAGCAATGACAACATCATGTACTATACAACGGCAAGTTGTGTGTGTGTGTACGTGCGTGTGTGTGTTTTAAACTAGTGTTGAGATAAAGCAAAACCTTTTTCTTATCCTTTATTGCTCTGGTATGATAGGAACTGGACCCCAAAAGAGACCTGGAGAGCTGTGGTTGCCTACCTTTGTTTGTGTTAGCCACTATGTGTCTTCTTTGGGAGAAAAGAAGTGAGATAAAAATGCTAGAATTATTACGAATAACAATAATTTGTGATGGCATACATGGGTGTTGCCGTGGGAAATCTTTAGTGGTCTCTTAGAAAAGTGATTTCCTCTAGGAAGTATAAAAGGACATGAACCTTAAGGTGGCTTTTGTAAGTACTTGCATTTAAAAACGAGTATAGAAAAAGGTGATAGAGATAGGCCCATGCAGGTATACAGGTGTGTAATGTATCAGTTGATTAATCAAGGTGCCTATTAATCACTATAGGTAAAGATGATGCATATAAAGATTGTTGCATGAGTATGTGCATGCATATCTATAATCCATTGATTGATTAACCAAGGTAACCTTCATGGCACATTGCAGCTCTGCCTTGTCCTCCTCTGCTTTGGAAAATTACTTGGGACTTGGGTCACACTTAGACTGCAACCTGTCCATTGCTTTTTCACAGTAACCTAGAGATTTATGCAGCGGCCTCCTTAAGAAGAGGTGTGAGATTGTCTTTGCAAGCCTGGGAATAGGTGGCGAGAGAAGTGAATTCACAACAGAAAGGAGAGAAACTTAACACGTATCTTTTCCTCCTAGACTGGCTGGATGATGTGGAATTGGTTGGTGTCTGCCCTCGCCGTAGGTGCTTCTGTCGTTCTGTATGATGGCTCACCTCTCGTTCCATCCCCCAACGTCCTCTGGGATTTGGTTGATCGACTCGGGTAGGTAAACTATGCGTTCCAGTTGGCAAAGGATTAATGTTATTCTGACATTGCCACCAATGTTCATGTAAGCTGCTTCCTTAAGTGATTTACCAGCTCCAGGGTATAACAGGACCTGAGAGGAGAAACAAGGTCCCCTTGCCATTGCCTTGGTTTTGCACTTCTGGGACCTTACAATATCAAGATTTTAGGGGTGTGTAGTTGCAATGATAAACTCTTGTCTGATAGGTTCAAGTGGAGTGAAAATCACTCTGCATCATCAAGATGTAATGCAGTTTAAGCTTTTGATAGTAAAGGTGAAGGTAAAGGTTGCCTCTCGACATTCAGTCTAGTCGGGTCCGACTCTGTGGTGCTTATTTCCGTTTCTAAGACGAAGAGCCGATGTTGTCCATAGACACCTCTTAGGTCATGTTTTTTTTTAAATCAAATGGCTTTTTACTCATATACTCATTTCTTTTTTTAAAGCCAGGAAAAGTCACATGATTAGCATACTGCCTATCCATGGACTACGATTATGGATTATTCTCCCCCAACCCAGCATAGCTAGAGGGCATGGAGTCTGAGTGTTCTGGGAACTGTCAAAAGGTTAACTTTCCCAAACCTTTTGCTTTAGGGAACTAGAGACCACTGCCCTGATGTTTATTTACCCTATTTAGACCCAGCCTTTCTCTACCCCAAAGGGGATTCAAGGCGGCTTACATATAGGCAATTATTCAATGCCTTAGAACACATACAATTCCAATAAACATTAAAATTAAAATCAATACATATTAAACATTTAAAAACATTATATTCAGTATTAAAACTACGCTATCCATAATCGTAGTCCATGGATAGGCAGTATGCTAATCATGTGACTTTTCCTGGCTTAAAAAAAAGAAATGTGAAGATTCGGGGAAAGAGGCAGCCCCAGTTCATAAGATTTGCCATTTTCTGCACAATCCCTCCTTCTGCAGGCTCGGTTCTTTGTGGCTGAAGGCAAAACCTAAATCTTCCAAGTCTTGGTTCCACACTTTTAACAACTGTCCTGTAGTGACTTGTTCTAATCTAATCAAAAGGCAATGATCACAAAACTAGGAGGTTTGATAAGCTCACCAGCTCATTCTTTTTAAAATCAGAAATATTATTACATTTTAATTTAGGGGTGTGCGAAATGGCAGAAATCCATTCTGTTTTGTTCTTAAATTTTGGGTGCCCCCCCCCGCCCCCCCGCTTTGTTTTCGGGAAGATTTTGGGAGATTAGGAAGAGGGCTGTTTGGATTTGTAATTCGGGATCTGCAGTTCATTTGCCGTTTTGGCAAAAATCTTCCATGAAAACAAAACCGGGGGGGGGGGGGCAGCACTCAAAATTTGAACAGAACGAAAAAAGAATGAAAACACCATGGATTTCTTTCATTTCACACACCCCTACAACATATATTGCAAAAGGACAAAACATAGAAATAGAGAAAAAATACCTAAAGAGTTGAGAATCACTACTGGTAGTAAGAGAGGAGGAGGAGGAGGAGGAATCAAGACAATCAAGAACCAACATTGATGGAAATCAGTCGTAGATAACTGCTTAAAATGCAAAAGACAATGTGAATACCGTAAAAATACAATGCAGAGCAGAAGAGAAAGCTGGCAAAAGAAGGCTTTCCATGGACAGTTCCTGGGAAAAATTGAGAGCAAAATTGACAAAGAAAAAACATGGCTGTGGCTCACAAATAGAACTTTGAAAAAGGAGACGGAGGGCTGATTCTGGCAGCCGAAGAACAAGCCATTAGAGCCAATGCCATCAAAGCCAGAATTGAAAAGTTGACAGTAGATCCCAAGTGTAGAGTCTGCAAGGAAGCAGATGAAACAATAGATCACATCCTCAGCTACTGCAGAAAGATCACGCAGACAGACTACAAGCAGAGGCATAACACCGTTGCTCTGATGATTCATTGCAACTTGTGCCACAAATACCATCTGCTTGTGACAAAGAACTGGTGGGATCTCAAGCCTGAAAAAGTTACAGAAAATGAACACATCAAACTATTCTGGGACTTCTGAATTCAGACTGACAAGAGTTTTGGAGCACAATACTCCTGACCTCACGATCGTGTTAAAAAACCAAGTATGGATTGTTGACAGCTGGATCGAAGAGAAACAACTGGAAAAGCTGACACGATATGAGGATTTAAAGATCGAACTGCAAAGACTCTGGCACAAACCAGTAAAGGTGGCCCCAGTGGTGATCGGTACATTGGGTGAAGTGCCTAAAGACCTTGGCCTGCACTTAAACACAATCGGTGCTGACAAAATTACCATCTGCCAGCTGCAAAAGGCTACCCTACTTGTATCTGCGTGCATTATTCGCTGATACATCACACAGTCCTAGACACTTGGGAAGTGCCCGACGTGTGATCCAATACAACGGCCAGCATAGCGATCTTGTTGTGTTTCTAATAATAATAATAATAATAATAATAATAATAATAATAATAATAATAATTCCTTTGAACTGTAGAATCACCATCCTTGGGACAGGTGCCAAATGGTTAGCGGTACTGGAAGAGAAAAACCTTAAACCATGTAAGTATCAAAATTCTCTTTAATTTTTCTTTTGTCTTTGGAGTTTCCTTGCCTCTGTTTCTGTTATATTCTAGCTAGTTCCACAGCAACATTGTTCCTGTGGAATTGTTCCTCTTCGCATGCATTGCAGTTGGCACCAGTGGACAATGAAGGCCATGATCACTTTGCACATTTGAAAACACATTGGCACTTTTAGGCTCTGCCTCGCTCTAATCTTCTCTACTGATTACAAGATTTGCCTGTTTGTAAATGTACTCTGCTGTCTTGTGGTGCATGGTCATAAATACTTTGTATAGCTAAGCAACCAGAACATGAATGAATTTGATTATTATGATCACAGACCAGAAGTTTAAAACATTAAAAGCAGAGTTTTTTAAAAAAACAACAAACCAGAACATGTGACCTGAGAAACTTTTAGGGTTGGTAGACATAAACAACTCCCCTTCTTTATCAACCACATATACTCAAGTATAGGCCAAGTTTTTCAGCCCTTTTTTTAGGCTGAAAAAATCCCCCTCGGCTTATACTCGAGTCAAGTTATTTATTCTTTTTCTCTATTATTATTATTATTATTATTATTATTATTATTATTATTACATTTATTATTTTGCTCTATTTATTATTATTATTACATTTACATTATTACATTATTATTTTTATCTATTTCTTATTGTTATTATGACATTTATTATTTTACTCTATTATTACATTTATAATTTTACTCTATTATTATTATTATCTTTGTTATTTTACTCTTTATTTTTTGTTTATTACTTTATTTCTTGTTATTATTACATGTATTATGTTACATTAATTATTATTATTATTACATTTATTATTTTACTCTACTATTACTGTTTTTATTATTATTTTACTTTCTATTATTATTTGAAGGATATGTGAGCACACTTACATTGAAGATTATTACATTGAATAATTATTACATTGAATTATTATTACATTGAATAATTATTACATTGAACTTACATTGAATAATTGTGCATTGTAATTGCGTATTGGTAATTTATGGATAATGTGTTAAGTCAATTGTTATATGTTGCATGGAACCACTGCTGTTTCTACTGTTTTTACTGTTTGTGAACCGCTGTGAGTCGCCTTCGGGCTTGAGATACAGCGGTATATAAGCAAAGTAAATAAATAATAAATAAATAAATAAGAAGGTTAGAATAATGGTTTAATCACAGTTAGACTGTTAAATTACAGTTTTATGTAAATGCTCAAAAACATTTAGCCTACTGATGCCTCAATTAATGTAATTTTATTGGCATCTATTTTTATTTTGAAATTTACTGGTAGCTGCTGCATTTCTCACCCTCTGCTTAGAGTCGAGTCAATACATTTCCCCAGTTTTTTGTGGTTAAATTAGGTGCCTCGACTTATATTCGGGTTGGCTTACACTCAAGTATGTATGGTGATTCTTGTTGGTTCTTTTTGCTCTCCTTTTTTATTCTGATCTTTGAAAATACCAAGTTAAAGTTTGATGCTCACTGGAATTCCTCCTTTCATGTTGTCTTTTCATTCGTTAGGTAGGATATAGGTGTTTCAATTAAAACAATTAGTAAAGTTTTAGTTTGCAACTGTACTTGGGGTGACCTCACTTCTTTTTTGGTGCTTACTCCCAAGGCGAAACCCACAACCTCCAGACCCTCCACACAATTCTGTCGACTGGTTCGCCTCTCAAGCCCCAAAGTTACGAATATGTTTACAGGCACATAAAGAGCAACGTTCTTCTTGGATCCATTTCAGGTAGTGTTTGGCAGACCTTGAACCTCAGCTTAGGATGCATGATTATGGTAATATGGCCCTCCAGTTGTCTTGAACTCCTGGCCAATATGGCCAGTGGTAAAAGCTGATGGGAAGTGTTGTGCAGAATGCCTAGGTGATCAAAGGTTTCCCAGACCTGTGCATAGAAAGGTGGCTGTGGACACACTAAATGCTCGTGGGGAAAGTGAGCTGTGAGGAGGGATTTGATGGTAGTAAGAGAGAGGGCTTATCACAGTTCTAAGTGTATGAAGTTTAAGAGAATGGAGCTGTTGTTCTAGAGCAGACCCTTAGCGCCATTACGTATATTGATGAATTAAGTATGTGGGTGAGCTTTGAGTTTTTGAATGATAGGTAAAGGTAAAGGTTTCCTCTTGACATTAAGGGCCGGGCTTTAGCACAGCTGGTAAATCATCAGTAATGATAAGTTCTACCAACTGAAAGGTTGCCAGTTCGAAGCCCTGGGTCAACTTGAGCACCCCACTGTCAGCCCAGCTCACAGTTTACCTAAGCAGTTCGAAAACAGCTTAGAGGTGTAAGTAGAGAAATTAGGTACCGCTAAAATAAGTGAGGGAGGTATTTTACGACACCATAAAAGAAAGAGTTCAGAAAATGCCCAGTGACCAAAAGGAAGGAGGAAGTCCTGATGGCTCTTCATCATAGAGGATGGAGTGACAGCACCCTCCTGTGGCTGGATTCGAGCACAACCTCCAAGGCACCAAAATTCTGGACATTGACACAACATACCTCCTTTCTGTTGTCTGTCTCTGTCCTGTCTGTCCAAAAACAGCATTGAATGTTTGCCGTATATGTGTACTGTGATCCTCCCTTAGTCCCCTTGGGTAGATAGGGCGGAATATAAATAAAGTGTTGTTATTATGTTATTATAGTGGGGTCCCACTCTGGAGGGTGGTGCTCATCTCCATTTCTAAGCTGAAGAGTTGTCCGTAGATGCCTCCTAGGTCATGTGACCAACATGCATAGAATGCTGTTTACCTTCCCGCCGAGGCGGTACTGATACTTATCTAGTCACATTTGCTTGTTTTCGAGCTGCTAGGTTGGCAGAAGCTGGGGCTAGCAAAGGGAGCTCACCCATCCCATTGATTTGAACAGCCAACCTTCCGGTCAACAAGTTCAGCAGCTTAGTGGTTTAACCTGCTGCACCACCGCTACCCCTGCTGTATCTTGAATGATACGGATCTATTATTTGCAAGTCAAGTGACAGGATTTTGACCTTTTTCAGAGAAGCATTGATGTGATTTCTCCTTCGTTCCCATTTTCAGGAGGTACAGATATTATTTCCTGCTTTATGGGTCAGAACGTGTCCATCCCGGTTTACAAAGGCGAGATCCAGGCGCGGAATCTTGGAATGGCTGTGGAAGCCTGGAACGATGAAGGTATATCTAGTTCAGCAAGTACACACATTTGTAATGGAGAGACCAGTTGCATGATAAATGATTGCTCTGTGTCCAAAGTGTTGTGGAGGAAATAATTTTTCTTGATCCCTTCAACAGGCAAGCCAGTTTGGGGAGAGAGTGGAGAGTTAATTTGTACCAAGCCCATGCCTTGCCAGCCGACACACTTTTGGAATGATGAGAACGGAAGCAAATACAGGAAGGCCTATTTTTCAAAATTTCCAGGTTTGTGCTGAAAGAATTTCTAAGTGCCCAGAGCAGAGCTTTCCAAATGTTTCATGTTGGCAACACACTTTTTTTAGGCATGCATCATTTCGCGACACAGTCATTCAGTTTCTCTAGCAAACCAATCCCTTATAAGAGATACGTACACATGACGGAATTGTAATAACAAAATATATGGGGATGCAACAGATCTCATGAAAACCTTTCATTTATATTTTTTAAAAATACGTGATTTATTACCTATTTCACATAGACGCAGAGGTTTCTTTTTAGGTTCATGTGACACACTTACTGCAGCCGGCACACTGATTTGTCACGACACACCGTTTGGAAAGCTCTGGCTTCAGATTTGTTTCCCCATTTTGCTACTGTGTTGATAAAGCAATGGCACTGTCTTTGGCCTCTGCTTTTGAAAGAGTAAAAAGGCAGGACGCCGCATTTCTGATGTACAAACGGGGATTTCCGTCAGCTTTTTTAGTTAAAGAAGGACTGAAAGCGTTGATAGGTAAAGGTAAAGGTTTTCCCCTGACATTAAGTCCAGTCATGTCCAATTCTGGGGGTTGGAGCTCATCTCCATTTGTAAGCTGAAGAGCCGGCCTTGTCCGTAGACAACTCCAAGGTCATGTGGCTGGCATGACTGCATGGAGCGCTGTTACATTCCCACCTATTGATCTACTCACCTTTGCATGTTTTCAAACTGCTAGATTGGCAGAAGCTGGGGCTAACAGCAGGAGCTCACCCTGCTCCCCAGATTCGAACCTGCGACCTTTCGGTCAGCTGTTTAACCCACTGCGCCACTCGGTGTGTTAATAAATCACATGGATTCATAAAATTCACCCTATGTATGGAAATCCTTGCAAATAAGGAACCATGATGATTTCTCTTGTTATAGTTGAAGTCTGTTTGCATTAGTTTGCTACAGAAAACACCCAAAACATGGATCTGTGAATCTGTAAAACTCTTATGGTGGTTTTCTAAGACACTATAATCCCTGTATCTGAGGGAATTCATTCCTGGACTTACTATGGAAACAGGAAACTGTGAATAATAGTGAAGCCCACTGAAACCAGAAACTTTCATTGGAACTTACCTCTGTAGGAATTGCATATGGAGGGCAAGCCATTGATCCTGTATATCCCAGATCATCTGCTTGCTTCAGCATCTCAGGTTTTCTGTTGTCTTTGCTTCTAGAGACCAGATTTCCTCCCTCTGGTCTTCATCCAAGTAGTCGGTTTGTTTTCAGTAAATAGTAGTCAGGAGCCATCAAAACCATCAGTGTTTGTTTATCAAGCATCTTTGAGACGAATGCAATTCCTGGTTCTCATCCTTCACTGTTTCAGTCACCTATTTTGAGACATCGCTACCTTGCAAGTAGAGCTTGTTTGAAAGGCAGTTGATAAACACACTAATTGCATGACAACCCTTCAAACTCTCTGTGTTTATGTCTCATTGTGATGCTTTTATTTTTTTGTATGTATTTTACCGCTTTTGTCACCCTTCGTTTTCGAACCATGCCTTCATCAGTGATTGATGGCAGATAGATTCATACCCATCTGGACCTCCGTTTGTGTATTTGTGGGGCCCCAGAAAGGGAGGACTTGCCACATTACTTCTCTTCTGCACATGATACTCAATTTTTTGATCCATCCTATTTAACCTGTGTCGCAATAATGTGTCAGAAAAAAAGTTATATCTCCTGTGTGATGCCAATTTTATTGTAACTCTCAAGATTTCTTTTTTCACCTTGGCAGCAATGAAAATTCGGGCTAAATGTATTGCCAATATTGTATTGCTGTGATGGCACAATGGGTTAAACTCTTGTGCCAGCTGAACTGCTGACCTGAAGGTTGGCAGTTCGAATCTGCGAGACAGGGTGAGCTCCCGTCTGTTAGCCCCAGTTTCTTCTGCGGGGACATGACTGAAGCCTCCCACAGGATGGTAATACATCCGGGTGTCCCCTGGGCAACGTCTCTGTAGACTGCCAATTCTTTCACACCGGAAGCAACTTGCAGTCTCTCAAGTCGCTCCTGATACAATAATAATAATAATAACAACAACAACAACAACCGTTATGGAGAGCTCTTAGCTAAGGAACATCATCTTGAGTGTTATACTGTTATCTTAATGCTATTGAACTTTAGTAGGCAATATTTGTATGAGATTGTTTTTTGTAGTACCTTTATAATGTTTTATATTCCTGCCCTTTAATATTGTTTTACTATTTCATCGCATAATTATCACCATCATGTAATACTCGCACCCTTGTTTTTGGGTGCCATTTTTTAAAAAAAATTCCTCACATAATAGTTACTATCCCCATTTGGGGCTTATATTTTCCCTCCCTTCTTTCTCCAAAGGCAAGGCAGTTTAAAAACTACAAAATGGAGGTCTCAGAAGCTCCACTCATCTCTCCTCCCTCCTCCTCTCCTTCCTTCTTTCTCTGAAGGCAACACAATTCACAAAATCTGGAATGGAGTTCTTTGGAGGAAGGAAGGAAGATCTGAGTTCCAGAGACCTCCTTTTCAGGTTTTTAAACACTGCCTTAAGGCCTCAGGGGAAGAAGAGAAGAGGAGCTTCAGAGATCTTCATTTTATAGTCTTGAAACTCTCTTGTTTCGAAGAAAGAAGGAAGGAAGGAAGGAAGGAAGGAAGGAAGGAAGGAAGGAAGGAGGGGAAAGTCAGCCCCAAATGTTTGGCACAAATATGCGATATGCCCAAATTTGAATACTGGTCATTTGGGAGTTGTAGTTGCTGGGATTTATAGTTCACCTACAATCAAAGAGCATTCTGAACTCCACCAATGATGGAATTGGGCCAAACTTGACACACACTTGACACACACAACTCCCATGGGCAACAGAAAATACTGGAAGAGTTTGGTGGGAATTGACTTTGAGTTTTGGAGTTGTAGTTCACCTGCATCCAGAGAGCGCTGTGGACTCTTAACAGTGATGGATCTGGACTAAACATGGCATGAATACTCAATATACCCAAATGTGAATACTAGTGGAGTTTAGGGAAAATAGACCTTGGCATTTGTGAGTTGTAGTTGCTGATATTTATAGTTCACCTACAATCAAAGAGCATTCTGAACCTCACCAACAATAGAATTGGGTCATACTTCCCACACAGAACCCCCATGACCAACAGAAAATACTGTGTTTTCCGATGGTCTTTGGCAACCCCTCTGACACCCTCCTCACAACCCCCCCAAAGGTCCCAACCCCCAGGTTGAGAAAAGCTGGTCTAGGCATTAATAAACAAATGGTCTAATAATGTTTCCATTTTCAGCTGTGAGCTGTTTTTGTAAATATTTCAGGCAGCTTTGTGACAGCCAGGTCTGTAGTCCTCATCCAATGAGCTGGTTGACTTCCTTTGTGGCTTTCTCTGGACAGGTGTTTGGGCTCATGGCGACTACTGCAGGATCAACCCCAAGACAGGAGGCATTGTCATGCTTGGCCGCAGGTAAGCCGTCCGTTCGGCCCGATGGGATGAGAAGGGCGTTCCATCGACTGTTAGCTTGGCTTGCTGCTCACCTGTTGGCAAAAGAGGTGCCAAGTTGACTTGGATGGAATTTTCGAAGCTATGCCAGAACATTTCACAAAGCTATTCTTCTCCTCCTCCCACCACTTCTTGTGTGTTCGGCATCCTCTGGTTCTCCCAAAGTTGGAACAAAGGGATTGTTACCCCAGAGGCTAGCTTCTCCTTGGGAGGTTAAAGCAGAGTCCTAGCCAAGAAGCAGGAAAGATTTTAGAGAATTTGAGTACTTGTCTCCATTGCCAGCTTTCTGTCCTGCCTATTTTGCCAAATACCACTATGCAGTTTGGCATTCTTCATGATGTTAAGCAAAGCTTAGCAAAATGTTTGTTCCCTCTGAGGGCCAAGCTACCTAAGTCCATGACATTGAACGTGCAATTTTTGTTATTATGTTACTTCAGGTTGATTCTGACCCTCTATTATACGGCGATATCTAATCAGCCAGGATTGCCCCCATTGCTTTCCTCTATGAAAGTGGTTCCCAACCTTTTTTTGACCAGGGACCACTTGATCAGGGACCACTTTGACCAGGGACCGTTCTCTAACATTAGTACCAAAAGGGTTACGAATCCATTTTTGGTCAACTTTAGATTCGATTTGGTTATTTGGGGTGCTGATTCTGAAAATTGCACTGGATAGACCACATCAGCTCTAGTATCTGATACAGAACATATGCCATCCAGCAGTCACCATCTTCTTGCCCTCAGAAAACCATATTTAATAATCTAGAGCTGATGTGGTAGTAGTAATCTTTCATGGGTAGTCAGCTTCTCCCCTCCCAACATCCCCGTTGCCTCGGCACTATAAGAGGGTTTCACAAGACTAGTCGCTCTAGTTGCTGTGTGGTTTCAAGACAATGGTGTAATAATGGTGAGGCTGCGGACCATATTTTCATTTTTGCTGACCACTGGTGGTCCATGGACCACAGGTTCGGAACCACTGCTTTAAGACCAAAAGAGAGATTGACTTGCTCAAAGTCAGAGTTTTTGGTTAAATTCCTAAAGTTGGAAGAGAGCCCCAGGGCCATCCGGTCCAATCCCATTTAGTCACGCTGGAACACATAGTCCAAGCACTCCCAACAGATGGCTATCCAGCCTCTTCTCAGAAACCTCCAGAGAAGGAGCCTCCATTCCTCTCCCAGGCAGCATATTCCACTGCCGAACAGCCCTTATTGTCAGGAAGTTCTTCCCAATGTTTAGATATGAAGGCATGGAGTAGATTTTCCTTCACTTGCCCATTTGCTTTAAGAAATACTTGAGATATTTTGTGTATGCCCTTTGTTCCCTATTGTTGGGTGGCACACCAATGGCACAATTGTTGAAATGTTAAGCAGCAAGAACTTGCCACGATACTGTCATCTTTAGTGGCACTTCTTCACTTCCGACTAGTTTCACCTGTATTTGCTTAATATGGCTCTTCCTGCTCCCTTCAGGGGTTGTACTGAGCCTTTAGAAAACGTCTTTAATCCTCCTGTTAAACTACCTTTCTGAGATTCCCTTGGGTATAAGCCACAGCAGTTAAAGCTGTTTAGATTTACAGCTCATATATACTCTCTGTTCTTTTTTCTTCGTCTTTTCTTGTTTAAACCTTTGGAAAACTTGGTTCTTTGTGGTACGCGTTGTTATGGAAGAACAATCTCTTGTAAGATAGTTAAATCCTAGCCTAGGGATTGTTCTCTGTTGCATATTTTAACTCAGCTGGCTGCCTGAGATTCAAGATGAGTTGTGTCTGGTTTTTGCTTCTTCATCAAACCTTGACTGTATCTTAATGATTTTTTTTCCTGTCGGACTTGTCTTTCCCCAGCGATGGCACCCTGAATCCAAGTGGAGTCAGGTTTGGGAGTTCGGAGATCTATAACATCGGTATGTAATTTACATGTTACCCTCCCTTCTTCCCATCCCTGAATTCTAATTTTCACCCAGTTTATCACCTGTAACATTGTCTTCCTTCAAGAATCAGAAGGCTGTGTTTGCAGGATAATCCCATTCTTAGCTTCACAGCAATCTTGTGATGTGAGTTAAACTGTGGGATTTGTGGGAGCATGGATAAAATGTCTGCTTCTCGGATCACATGCTCTGCCCTATACAACTTGCTTGAGTTCTTCGCCATGGGAATGTTTTGAGGGTGTCAGAGAAGCGGTTTTATTTACTACTAGATTAGGAACCCAGCAGTGTCTGGGTTAGATATTTTGAATGCTATTTATTTGAAATAGTCATTGTTTGGTTTTGGATTTTTTGAATGGTCCCATTACAAAATGCATAAAGATGTGGGTAAATTATAACTTCTGTTATCTCTGTCATTGTCTTCAAACCACAACAGTATTTGGTCATGGGAGGATTTGTGTGCCAAGTTTGGTCCAGATCCATTGTTGATGGGGTTCATAGGGCTCTCAGGATGTAGGGTGACTACAACTCCCATCACCCAGGGTCAATTCCCCCCCAAACCCCACCAGTATTTTCTTTTGGTCATGATGAGTTTGTGTGCAAAGTTTGTTCCAGATCCGTTGCTGGTGGGAGTCAGAGAGCTCTCTGGATGTGAGAGCCACCTTGGACAAGACAAACGTTGGGTTGCTGTGAGTTTTCCAGGCTGTATGGCCATGTTCCAGAAGCATTCTCTCCTGATGTTTCACCCAGATCTATGGCAGGCATCCTCAGAGGTTGTGAGGTCTGTTGGAAACGAGGCAAGTGGGGTTTATATATCTGTGGAATAATGTCCAGAGTGGGAGAAAGAACTCTTGTCCAACAGGCAAGTGGGAATGTTGCAATCCCTGGACATTCCACAGATATATAAACCCCACTTGCCTAGTTTCCAACAGACTTCACAACCTCTGAGGATTTTTTTTCATTTCAGAAGTGACTTGAGAAACTGCAAGTCACTTCTGGTGTGAAAGAATTGGCTGTCTGTAAGGATGTTACCCAGGGGACGCCTGGATGTTTTGATGTTTTACCATCTTTGTTGGAGGCTTCTCACATGTCCCCACATGGGGAGCTAGAGCTGACAGAGAGAGCTCATCCATTCTCTCCTCGGATTCAAACCTCCGACCTGTCGGTCTTCAGTCCTGCCTGCACAAGGGTTTAACTCACTAAACAGATATCTTTAAAACTAGTGTTACTACAAAGTTGTCCTGTTACTATATTCTTAATTGTAAAATAAAATAAAATGATACACATAATCTGACTATTATTTATTATAGTCAGATTATGTATATCATTTTATTTTGAACTTCATATCATTACAATTAAAAATATAGTAACAGGACAACTTTGTATTGGCAGAAGGGCTTAACCCATTGCGCCACTGGGGGCTCCTACCTCTGAGGATGCCTGCCATAGATGTGGGCGAAACGTCAGGAGAGACTGCTTCTGGAACATGGCCAGACAGCCCAGAAAACTCACAGCAACCCAGTGATTCCAGCCATGAAAGCCTTCAACAACACATTCAAACATCAGTAGAATGTGGGAATTTCCAGTTATAATATAGGTGCAGTTATGTGTGCTACGGCCACTTTCTTCAACCTTGTTAGCTCTTATGAATTGACTCAAGAAGTCCCAGGAAGTTGCCAGTGTTTTCCAGTACTCTGTTTGAAAACCTTTACGCTGCCCTTAATTCCAGTTGGGTTGTTTGCAACATTATCCTGTGGAACACATGATTTTTGCAGAGGAGAGAAAGACAGGACAGATGTTTGCATTTTAAGGCCCAGAATGAAACCTCGATGCTTCCAAGGATGGTTCTGAAAGCACTGGGGTATTTTGTGAACCTTTACAAGAAAAGCAAGCCTCGCCAGGATGAAATCGTCACCTTGGGGATGCATTGCCAGTCCCCGTCTTCCACGGACGTGGCATTTGTGCAACGAAGCGTGCATTGCTAGGATTGTCTTGAACCATCTGGCGTGAGCAATCCCTCAGCTCTGGTGCCTTGGCGCTGTCTTTCGAAGCGAGAGCCAACACACAGGCCCTGCTTGTCTGGAGCGAAGCATCCTTAATGGATCCCTTTGACTGATCTCCGCTGCCATCATTTTTGCTTGTGCACAAAGGGGTTGTCAGCACACGCCCATGAAGTCGCCGGAGGAGCCAACATTAAGGAAGGGAGGGAAGGCGCAGTGGGGTCGAAAACGGGGACGGAGTGAATTGGAGCATTGTTTGGCTGTAATTTTCTCTTCCTTGTGTGGGCTGCAGTTGAACTTTAGTGGCCTTTCCTTTTCAACCCCTGTTGTTCCACCGCCTCCCTTTTCTTGAAATGCTCTCTCTGTTATATGGTGTTGTTTTGGGATTGACGAGGAAAAGAAAGTTGAGAAATACAACCTTAGAATCTGGATTTTACACAATATATGTGACCAGTAAAAGCATCCAGGATTAATTTCTGTGGGTGTTATACCACTTTTCCGAAATGCAAATGTATCCACGGCAGTGAGTAATCGTCTTGCATCTTAATACCAATTGTTAATTTCTTTTCTGCCCAACAGACCTCCCATATGATGCACAATACAATATATCATATATATATTAAGTAGATTTAAAAAACCCTTTAAAATAACTGCATGAAAACCAGTTTGGAGAATAAGTACTATAAAACAACATATAATACAATACAATTAACATAAACTAACAGTACAACTACAAACTACCTTGCTAGGCTATACTAAAGCACCCACAATACACAAAAATAACAAATAAAAAGGGGGAAAGACAAATGACTTCCAAATTTCCAGCTAATGGTTATACTTATTCAGTTATTCAAATATTTCTGTTTTGCTGGTTATTTTGATAAATATATATTCAAAGTGATTTAAGTGCATCTTTCTAGGATCCAAAAGAGCTTTGTCTGAAGGGCTTTTGATGCTGTAAAAAGGTGTGGGTTTGTATGCAAATTTGAGGCTAAATCACTTTAATCCTGGGACAGATTATTGAGATCAGTGAGATTTACATAAATGGTGAATAATAAATCCCATTAATCTATTTGGGTTTATTCTAGCTGGGAGCGTAATTGGATTTTGCACATACACACAATGTCCCAAAAGTGTATACACCTTTAACAGCTAACAACAACAACAACAACAACAACAACAACAGAAAAACTCAGTCGTTATCAGGACCTCAAAATTGAACTGCAAAGACTCTGGCACATACCAGTACAGGTGGTCCCGGTGGTAATCGGCACACTGCATGTCGTGCCAAAAGATCTCAGCTGGCATTTGGAAACAATAAACATTGACAAAATCATGATCTGTCAACTTCAAAAGGCCACCTTACTTGGATCTGCGCACATTGTTCGAAAATACATCACATAGTCCTAGACACTTGGGAAGTGTTCGACTTGTGATTGTGTGATATGAAATCCAGCATGTATATATCTCATTTGCTGTGACATACTGTGTTTTTGTGTCAGAATAATAATAATAATAATAATAATAATAATAATTGATACATATAATAAAAGTGAAAACATGTATGTGTGTTGCTGGGATTTCCACTTACAAAGACAAGCTCCTGCCTCCACAAACAGCTATAGCTCCCACTATTCAGGAGACACCAAAGGCCCTCCCTCCAATGACATTACAGGTTATAGGGAGCACCATGAACATGTCCAAGAACCCTGTCAGTGTCCTCCACAAACACCATACTGCCCACCACCCAAGGCTTTCATTTGGGGATAATTTCTTCCTAGATTTTACGTGTTTCCTCCACCACAGGCATCCCAGTGTTTCTTACTCTCTTCATTGGAGTGAAATTTGCATGACCCCGCCCACTGCCTCTCCCATAACCCTTCCCTATTCTTTTCTATGGCACACAGCAAACAGAGAGGAGAATTGATCAGCAACTGAACATACTAGAGAGGATTGGGGAGAATTCACCGTGATTTATAGGAGTTGTAGGTACTGGGATGTATAGTTCACCTGCAGTCTAAGAGCACTCTGAACTCCATCAACGATGGACCTGGAACTAACTTGGCACACAGAACCCCCATGACCAACAGAAAATCCTGGAAGTCTTTGGAGGGATTTATAGGAGTTGTAGTTCACCTACATTCAGAGCGCACTATGAACCCAAATAACAATGGAGCTGGACCAAACTTGGCATCCATATCTGATTTGAATATTGGTGGGTTTTGAGTGGAATTGGCCTGGACATTTTGGGAGTTATAGCTACTGGGATTTATAGTTCACTTTCAATCAACGAGCACTCTGAACTCCACAAACGATGGAATTGGACTACATGTGGCATACACAGCCCCCATGATTGCTGGAGGTCTTTGTGGGAAATTCACCTTGATTTGGGGGAGGTGTAGTTCACTTACATCCAGAGAGCACTGTGAACCCAAACTGATGAATCTGGACCAAACTTGGCACACATACCTGATATGCCAAAATTGGATTCCTAGGGGTGGGGTTGGGAGGAAATGACCTTCCTTCCTGGGAGTTGTAGTTCACCCATAACCAGAGAAACTGTGACCTCCAACAATGATGGACCTGGACCACACTTGGTACACAGAACCCCCTTGACTAACTCAACCTATTGGAGGGGTTTGAGGGCACTGACTTACCATAGTGGGAGTTGTAGTTTACCCTACAGCCAGAGAGCACACTGAACCCCACCGAGGATGCATCTAGAGCAAACTTGCCCAACATAACAAACTTTAAGTACTGATGGAGTTTTTTTTGAGGTTAACCTGGCATGATGTAAGTTGTAGTTCACCCACAACTTTATGCATTATGTATAATTAAAAACTGACTTTTTCAAATAACCCAGGCAACGCTGGATACCCAAGCTAGTAATAATAATAATTTACTTGTTACCTGCCTCTCCTTGCAGCTCGAGGTGGGTTACAACACAATTAAAACACTCAGGTAAAACACAATACTATAAAAGACATGTATTAAAATCCATAGTACAAAGATTAAAATACGGTACGAATAGAATAGTAGTTATGGTGATTATTTGTAAAAGTAAGTCAGTATATATATTGAAGAATGAATGTTATAGTAATGATTTAATCAGAGTTACAAAGCCCATCTTAAATTACAAGTTTGTCTAAGGTTCAAATTGTTCTTCCCACGCAGCAATGCACTGAGCTCATTGTTAAAGCAAAGTTTCAAATCTCACTTAACATTTCTCTTGTGATTTTGTGACACTTCTCTGCTATTGTAATCTTTAATCCTGCTAAGAGTGTATACATTTTCTGGGGAAAAAATGTAATATCCCCAGAATTATAAATTAAGGGTGTGTATCATCTTTAATACAAGCAGCTCAGCCGTCACATTATTTATATTCCACCTTTCTTCCTGGCTGGAAGTCAAGGTGGGAACAAGGAAGACGGTCTTCTTGGTGTCTTCGCCTCTCAGGCTTTGGAGCTCCTTCCCAAGAGAGACCAGGGTGGAGTGATCCTGCCTAATCCAGTTCCGCAATCCAGATTATTTGAACTAGATTATGAATCTACACTACGATATAATCCAGTTCAAAGCAGATCACCTAGAACTTGGAAGTCCCTGAACAGACTCAGGAGTGGAGTGGGCAGATCAAAAGACAATTTAGCAAAATGGCACTACCTAAAAAAATCCCACACCTTGTGTGACTGTGGAGCAGAACAGACAACTCCACATCTGTATGCTTGTCCACTGTGCCCTGCCTCATGTACAGAGGAAGAGTTGTTGGAGGCTACAGACAGTGCCATTGCTGTTGCCTGTTTCTGGACAAAGGATATTTAGCTGCCTGTGCTTTTTCTATTTTTATCAATTTTATACTAATTTATGCAATGTTTTTGATACAAAATAATATAATACGAAATAATAATAATAACCTAGATCCAGAAATTGGATTATATGGCAATGTAGATGTGATTCAGGATGTCCTCATCCCTGTTACATTTCCCAAGCAGGTCAAGACATTACTTTGCCATCAGGCGTTTGGGGGAGGATGAGGGACACACACCTGAGGAAGTTGAGAGTGGGATTTCGGGGGATGTTTACTTTTCAATGTCATTCTATTTGTACGTGTATTTTTATTGTGTCTTCACTGTATTTTAACTGATATCCATGACACAAATATTTAATTGTTTTTAAATTGCTTTTAATGTTTGTATTGGCCATGTTTTAAAATGCATTGGGTTGTGTCATATTCTTATAGAAATGATGATGATGATGATGATGATGATGATGATGATGATGATGATGATGATAATGGGTTGCTGTGAGTTTTATGGGCTGGCTGGCCATGTTCCAGAAGGATCCTCTCCTGACGTTTCACCCACATCTATCAGATATTTTAAGGTCTGTTGGAAACTAGGCAAGTGGGGTTTATATACATGTGGAATAATGTCCAGGATGAGAGAAAGAACTCTTGTCTGTGGGAGGCAAGTTTGAATGTTGCCATTGCCCACCTTGATTAGCATTGAATAACCTTGCAGCTTCAAAGCCTGGCTGCTTTCTGCCAAAGGGGAATCCTTTGTTAGGAGGTGTTAGCTGGCCCTGATTGTTTCCTGTCTGGAATTCCCCTGTTTTCTGAGTGTTGTACTTTATTTACTATTTTGAGTTTTGAGTTTTTAAGTACTGGGGGCCAGATTTTGTTCATTTTCATGGTTTTCTAGTTTCATTTTCATGGTTTCCTAGTTTCCAACAGATTTCACAACCTCTGAGGATGCCTGCCATAGATGTGGGTGAAACGTCAGGAGAGAATGCTTCTGGAATGTGGCCATACATCCTGGAAAACTCACAGCAGTCCAGTGATTCTGGCCATAAAAGTCTTCAACAACACAATAATAATAATAATAATAATAATAATAATAATAATAATAATAATAGTAGAGACACTTGGGATTAGGGGGATAGGGAAGGGAGATGAGAGGATATGGATTTTATTGTGAAGTGTGTTGAGATGTTTGAAATGAAAAATAGTAAGAAACGTTAGGAATAACACACAAGCAGGTGATACCATTGAGAAGTCCTCCTGCATTGACTGCCTGTGATGGTTGTCTCACACTGCCGAATGGTTGGGTTGGTCCTGATTCAAATGTCTGGGCTAATTGATTTAGTAGCTAATTGATTTAGTTTCCCAACTGCAAGGTCTGAACTATGGTTTGGTTTATGGGGAACTTATGCTGTTGTCTGTCCAGGGCTTTGTGGAACTCCTACATCTAAAGCCGTCCTTTCTTATTAATTTTTTTCAGTCGAAGCTTTTGAGGAAGTGTCGGACAGCCTCTGTGTCCCGCAGTACAACAAAGACGGCGAAGAAAGGGTCATTCTCTTCCTCAAAATGGCCACCAACCAGGAGTGCAGTCCAGATTTGGTGAAACGAATCAGAGAAGCAATCCGGATTGCGCTCTCAGCCCGGCATGTGCCCAGCCTCATTTTGGAAACGGAAGGCATCCCGGTATGTCAGGGCAGTCTTTTTCTTCTTTCCCGTTGCTGCATTTTTTTCATTGTCATCTTGGAATAGTAATTAAGGAGCAGTTGTCACCTCTCTTCAAAGCCCACACATGCCTGGAAATTTAAGCCTCGTTTTTTTTTCTTGAAAAAAGTAGGTTGGGGGAGTCTTATAAATAGTTTGTCTGTGTTGCTTAGCAACGCATGTGTGCGTGTGTGGCTTTCCTTCTCGAATACACCTTTACTTTTCTCTTTCTTTAAAATAATAAATGTCCTTTGTCTATATCTATATATTGGGTTAAAAATATAACAATAGAGACTCCTTGGGTGCTGGTGATCAATATAAAATGGATTCTTGATTAGACATCAAAGCTGCCTTAATCCCCATGCTCCAAGGATGGATCAAGTAGGATGTCTTTCTTAAAAACACAATTGCCCTGAGATCTCGTAACCAAATGTTTTCATATTGTGGATTTTTTGTGTGTGTCAGGAGCGACTTGAGAAACTGCAAGTCGCTTCTGGTGTGAGAGAATTGGCCATCTGCAAGGACGTAGCTCAGGGGATACCCGGATGTTTTGATGTTTTACCATCCTTATGGGAGGCTTCTCTCATGTGCTCGCATATAGAGCTGAAGCTCACAGAGGGAGCTCATCCGCACTCTTCCCAGATTCAAACCTCCAACCTGTTGGTTTTCAGTCCTGCCGGCACAAGGGTTTAACCCTTTGCGCCACTGGGGACTCCTAATATTGCGGATGGCCGATGTCTTCAGACTTGTCATTCCCAAAGTGACTTATAAACAACTTATGCATACATACATGTCAAAGCATGCATGTTTGTCTGTCTGTTTGTACCACAAAGGCTGTTGCTAGGTGAAGTGGCCCTCTGTGTGATGTCAGTGGGAAAGAAAGGTGATCTGTGTACGAGGGGAAGGGAGGAAGGAGCCCCAAATCTTGCTATGGAGATATTGTGAGGTAGGTCCCCACAGCTGGAGAAGAGAGAAAGCAGATGGGGAAGGAAAGGAAGAAAGGGAAAACAAAGGGCAGGAAAGGAAAAGAGAAGGGAGGGAGGTGGGAAGAAAGAAAAAGGAGGGAGGGAAATGAAAGGAAAGAGGAAAGATGTAAGGGAAGGAAAGATAGAGAAAGAAGGGATGAAAGCAGAGGGACACGGTCCCTCTGATAGCTGGGCCATTGCGGGGTATATATGCTAGTCCCACTCTAGGACCTCATCACACTAGAAAATGAATCCACTTTAAACCTGGTTTTTGCCTTCTGCAGAATTTTGGGGTTTCTAGTAGGCATTGGCAATCCATGGTTCTAAATGATTCTAAAGAACTTAGAAAACTAGAGAGTGCTGGTGCTTTGCTTCTAAAGTGTTGCTAAAGTTCTGGTGGTGAAAATTTCAGAACTCTAACAAAACTTTCAAAATTTGATTATAAATGGCAGTTCCTAATTGGTTCTGTCATAAAATTTGCCAATAACGAAATAATAATGACATTTTGAAAGTTTTGTTAGAGTTCTGAATTTTTCACCACCAGAACTTTAGCAACACTTTAGAAGCAAAGCACCAGCACCCTCTAGTTTTGTGAACACTTTAGAACCATTTAGAACCATGGATTGCCCATGCTTAGTTTCTAGTTCAGCATTTAACACACTAAACTACAAACCCTAGAATTCTGCAGGAGGCAGAAACCGGATTTAAAATGGATTCATTCTCTAGTGTGTTGAAGCAGTTAGATGCAGTCACAAGTGTGGGATGTGAAGGGCCCACTATGTAATTTTCATCTCTTCCTTCAACCATAGAGCACAACCAGCCATTTTGTTGTGTCTGGGAACGGTTGTTCTTGTGTGATGGGGAGAGCTAAGAATCTTAGAAACCTAACTCGTCCCATCAGACAAGAGGAATTATGGGAGCTGAACTCCAAAAGACCTGGAGGGGTCCAGGTTGGACAGCACTGGTCTAGATGCACCTATGGGTATTCCAGATAAAGGTATAGTGGATGGAGAATGTTGCAGTCTTCAGATGTTGTGGCCACACCAAGGACCAGACTGAGTAGAGTTGATGGGAACTCTAGGCCAAAACATCTGTCGAATCAAAAACTTCCCTCTACTGCTCTAGTTGATCGATATTTAGAGTTTTTACAATTGAATCTCACAAATCCTGAGACAGAGTTGCTAATGAACCAGTTTAGCAGTAGATCCTAACTAGGCTGGTGATGGGGCTGGAAAAAGGATACAAGGAAAGGCGATTCTGGGAGGAAAAGAGCCAAATGGCAGTTTCAGCTCTCTTTTTGCTGTGGCAAGGAAATGTTATAGGTGTCCTTGTGTTGCCCGAAAGACGCCTACTGCCAGGAAACCTTCCAACGTGTCAAACTGTGGCTTTCAACTATGGGCATGCTAGCATACTGCCCACTGCCAAGAAAATGTACTATTACAAATGCAGCAATGATGGACCCTGATCTCTGTTTTTGTCCAAACCCTGATAGATGAGCTTCAAATAGCTCCATAAACCTAAATGCTGAGAGCAAAGAGAATGGCACAGAGCAGCAGGTAACTGAGGAATCCTAGTTTAGACCATTAATTAGCTCACGTTCCGAACTAAACTCTCATTATGTTTCGGGTACAAATGTGCTGACATGAAAGCAGTTCGCTTATATTCAGTTCTTTTTTGGGTTCTCTTCCCCCGACCCACCACCCTCTGTTCCTTTTTTCCTTTTGGCCACAATGCTTGGAGCTATATTTAGGTGCATTTTAGTGGCTCGGAAACAATTTACCTGTCACCCTTCTTGCAGCTTTGAAGAACAGGGGCCTGTCAGCAGCCCAAATTCCAAATAACCCCTCAATGGGAATGAAGAGTGTCACAATGCAGAAAAGGGAAGTGGAGCTGGAACCTCAGTGAATGTATTAGCAGCGGGTGTCCCATCACTCAGAAGTTTTCCATATATTTGGGGAAAGTGCAGAAAAGGCCAACTGAAATTGCCAGGAGCATTGACATGTAATGAAAGTCTGCCATGTTTGCTCATCACCTGATGTAGCCCTTTGGGACCAGAGATTTCCTACTTTTGCTGTAAAATAATGCAGTGTGTTGAGTACAATTGGAGTCCCAAGTAGAATAGACAGACTGAAAATAATGGCATTTATTAGTAACCACTTACATAAGTTTCATTCATTTAATTGGGACTATTTATTTATTTACCTTATTTACATCTCGCCTTTTTCTACCCCGAAGAGGACTCAAGGCGGCTTACATTTCACACCTCTGTGATGCCTTAAAACATACAATGTTAACTTAAAATAACCAGAATTAAAATTAATACATAATGATACAATTAAAATACATTCCAATGTAATCGCGTCATCCAGAGTCATAGTCTAAAGACCAATCCATAGTTAAATTGCACATTTTCCATACTAACATTCCTGCAGTTTTTGACTCTCTTTCTAAACACTAAGAGGGAAGGGGCTGTCCTGATATCGCTAGGGAGGGAGTTCCACAACCGAGGGGCCACTACTGAGAAGGCCCTGTCTCTCGTTCTCCCCCAGACGCACTTTTGAAGAAGGTGGGGCCGAGAGCAGAGCCTTCCCAGACGATCTTAATCTTCAAAATGGTTCATAAAGGGAGATATGTTCAGACAGGTAGGCTACTCTAGTTGGGGCAAAAATTGGATTTAGGATATTGTTATTTGTGGCCATAATGTCTAAAAAGGGAGGTGGTAGCTGAGAGTGACACTCCTCTTAGAATCCTTGAAGGTTGATTTTCAAGTTGTAAGTATTAGTTCGTTATTTATTTGGCTACACATGCAATTTCTAAACTGAAACAAATTACATAGAGCTTGATCTCCGCAGACAATGGATTTTTGTAAATTGTCATTTGTCTTGTTATCATTTCTGTTCACGGTGCCTTGTACCTTTGTATTTGTTTTTGAACAGCCCATGAAGAAGGCCATAAAAAACTTTCAAGCAGAAATTAGTTGGGCAGTTTCAGGATCCAGGGCTCTGCCGGTATGCAGGCAGATTTGAACCAAAAACAACACCCAGCTTGTCTCCAAAAACTATTTTACTTAAAGTAGCACTTACTCATTTGGCTGTTTTCAAGGTCCAAGTTCAAAACATAAAGATAGCACACAGCCACCGATACAAAGAAAAGACTTATAACAAAAACTAAAGCTTTGGAAACGGACTATGATAAGCGGAATGAATTTATTAATTACGGACTTGGCAAAATGATGGCCACCAGGCTGGCTTTTTATTGTATTTTTATTGTATTAATGTAATGTTTTAATTGTGATAATTATTGTTACTATGTATTTTATTGTGTTAATTGTAGGCATCACCATATGCTGGTTGGAAGCCGCCCTGAGTCCCCCTTAGGGGGTTGAGAAGGGCAGGGTAGAAGTCCCCGAAATAAATAAAATAAATAAATAAACAAGGAGAGTACTACAAACACCAGTTCAGGAGAAAGAGTAGACCATAGTCAAGGTTGCAGTCCGGGAGTCAAATACCAAGAATTCACTAATTAATGTTTAAGATTCAAGAGACCAAAGCATAGTCATTGTTCCAAAGGTCAAGCAAGAGAGTCCAGAGTTCAAGAGTGATCCAAAACATGTAGTCAAGAGTCAGTCCAGGGATTCAAGGTATATTAAGGTTCCACACAAGATACAGCAGTGACAGGATTCCCACCAGGGTTCAAGGTTCTTCAGGGTACAAGGTTCCAAGAGTTCACAAGTCAGGTCAGGATGCCACAATCCACACAACCTGGGAGGAACCCACCAACATCCAAGTACAGTGTTCCCTCATTTATCGTGGGTGTTACGTTCCAGGACCACCCGCGATTAGTGAAAATCCATGAAGTAGGGATATATATATATAGAGAGAGAGAGAGAGGGAGGGAGAGAGAGAGAGAGAGAGAGAGAGAGAGGGAGTATATATATTTACAATCTCAAGCTTGACGCCTCTCCCATCTTTCTTTTGCTGCATGCTGGTCCCCCTTCCTCCCTACCGACCCCCGCGTGCTCTCTCCTTCACTCACAGTCTACCTCTCCCAGGCTAGGCTCCTCCAGAAGCGGGGCAGGGCGCAGGGGCAGCGGCAGCAGAAGGGTTGTCAAGAGAGGGCCATGGCTGCCTTGCCCTGCTCCTTGCTCAGGCCCAGCACCGCTATGGCAGTAGCAGCAACAGTAGGGAAGCCTGCTCAACCCGGACATGGGACGTGGGCCTGGGGTGACAAGTGGGAGCCTGGCAGGAAGGTCTCCTCCTCCTCCTCTTCTCTGAGGCGCTGTAGGGAACTGTGGGATGAGCAAGGCCTCGTCAGGGAAGGAGCATGTATGCTGGAGAAACAACAGGTATACCATGTCCCCTCTCTACTTGTATATTTTAAATTCATTTTTTAAAAACTGCGAAACAGCGAGTCCGCGGAAAGTGAACCACGAAGTAGCGAGGGAACACTGTATAGTAAAACTTTGCATGGTTCTTTTTATGCAGCTGATTACAGCTGCATCCTGTCTCTGTAGGCCTCCGCACTTATCGTTGCCACCTGTTAGTCCTTATATACAGATTACTCTACCCTTTAGAACTAGGAGGAAGATTGACCCCATCCATACCTTTTACAGCATTACCACCTGTACTCACCACCACCAACTGCTAGGTATTCTACTACTAGCCAGCATCAACTGCTGGACATGACAGGCTGTTTCTGAGAATAAATTCATCCCTTTTTCAAAACCCAGAGACATTGTCCTTTCCCCCCCACCTCTGTTATTGAATGAGATCAGACCGCTTTGCTTTGCCTATAAGAACACATACTAAGTTCGACTTTTAAAAAATGTATTGGGTCATGTTTACAATAAAATAATGCAAGTAAAGTCTAAATCAGTGGTTTTCAACCTGTGAGTCCCCAGGTGTTTTGGCCTTCAACTCCCAGAAATCCTAACAGCTGGTAAACTGGTTGGGCTTTCTGGGAGTTGTAGGCCAAAACACCTGGGGACTCACAGGTTGATAACCACTGGTCTAAATGAAGAAATCCATTCAAATTAAGCCACAGACAGTAGAAAGAAAAAAAATACACCATTTACCCAGTAAAAACCCTTTCTACAACAGATGAGGTCAGTTACCCAGCCACTTTGGGTGTCTTTTTTAAAGAGAGAGAAAAAAAGAGGGATACCAATAATAAATAACTTGTTTGTATATTTTGAACATTGAAGTAACTGAAGAAGTTTAAAAAGAAAGAAAACAGTGCCAGTCCCCAGATGAAGACTGAGGAAGGGAAATTAATGCAAAACTGAACTATTTGCTTGGGAGATAAAACAGGAGACTGGTCAAACTAATAAATAATAACTTCATCTTAGTTAGGAATTTCCAGAGGCTGAGAGCAGCCATAAAGAAAAAAACCCTTGTGTTCATATTAGCTGTACCCCAGAAAGTGGTGGGACCAAAAGAAGACCTTCTCCTGAAGACTCAAAGATTGAGCAGGAAAATATAGTCTTTCTTGCTTTTTGGCAAGGATCGCATTTCAGCGCAGGGCTTTCCAATTCAGATCTACACTGCCATATAATCCAGTTCAAAGAAGATAATCTGGAATTTATATGGCAGTGCAAATGGCGCCTCTAGCACCCTATTTTTCAAGTAGGTTTTCATCCCCCTCAAAATGAATGTGCTGGTTTGAGTGGACATTGTATTCCTCCTCAGTCCATGAATGGTAGTAACCATCTTCTGTTGTCATGTCTGTGCTAACCTGATGGCTTCTTCACCAATGTCTTTTTCTCTGCTTCTCAGTACACAATAAATGGAAAGAAAGTTGAAGTGGCTGTCAAGCAAGTCATTGCTGGGAAAGAAGTGGCTCAGCGAGGGATCTTCTCCAACCCTGAGACGCTGGACCTCTACCGAAACATTCCCGAGCTCCAGAACTTCTGAAGGAGTCTGCCTTTCCCCATCCTTCGATGTCTGTGGGTGTGAGCGTGTGTGTCTGGTTTTGTACTGTATATATAATCTGTACATGGATGCTGTATGTAAAAGAAACTTATTTAAGCGGCGGTGTTTCTTTGGACAAAGGGAAATGCTGTTTTTTATTGCCAAGTGCTTCATGGAAAGGCTTTTTTTTTTTTTTTTTGAAGGAGTGCAGCGTTGTGGATTTTGGCACGTCGGCATTGCTTTTCCTCCAGCCGAGAAGAGCCGACATTCCCTCCTTGCAGGTCACTAGGTGCAGACATTTTTTATAATGTATAGTAAAGATCTGTTTTCTGTGTTGAATTATCAAATTAAGTGAAAGGGGTGAGCGTCCCGTGGGTGGTAGGGCCAGACTTCTTTAAGATCAGATTTGAGTATTCAAACCATGTGTTAAGCCTTCTGGGCATTTTTTCTATCATGGAAACATTGGAAAATGGTAGGAAAATGCCTCCCTTAGAGCAGTAGCTACTGTATTTTGCTCAAAGTATTTAGTCATAGGAGATGGGTACATTAAGTATAGGAAATGGGTGATCAGCAGCAATGCCTTAGAGCTCGTAAAAATTACACTATGTAACAGAATTAGGAAAAAAAACTGTTCCTGGTTTGAAAGTGTAGTTTAATTGTGCAGTACTTACTTTGAAAGTGGAGCACTCAGTGGCCCAATGGGTGGCGTAATGGGTTAAACCTTTGTGCCAGCAGGACTGCTGACTGAAAGGTCGGCGGTTTGAATCTAGGGAGCAGGGTGAGCTCCCATCTGTCAGCTCCAGCTCCTCATGCGGTGACATGAGAGAAGCCTTCCACAGGATGGTAAAACATCCAGGCACCCCCTGGGCAATGTCCTTGCAAAGGGCCAATTCTCTCACACCATAAGCTACTTGCAGTCAAGTTGCTCCTGACATGAAAAAAAGCAAAACTTTGAAAGTAGTTGTTATTCCAGAAACTTTGTTTTTGTGGCTGACACAAACTGTGTAGAATTGGTTGAGATTCGGAGATATTCATTGAAAAATGTGCTATAGCAGATGTCCCTCCCACAAAAACAAAGTTTTTGCAGTTTAATAAGTCTTTTCCATGTTTTGATGATAGAACCAATTAGGAAATGATATTTATAACCCAGGAACAAAAAACGTGTTACATAGTGTTTGGAGACTACCCCCCCCCCCCAATAATCTTTGTTGTGGGGTCTGGGAGATTTTGAGACTTGTAGTCCAAAAGGTAACTTTTCCAAGCTGTTTGGAGTCCATGAATTTGTTAGAACTCAAGGTGTTTCCTTGACTATTTCAAGAAACCCTTTGTAACCTCCTTGGCTGGAAAATTCATGTGGGAGACCGTTTCTGGCAGTAAGGAGTCTTACTTCATCACACTGGAGAAAAAATCCACTTAAAATCCAGTTTCTGCTTCTTGCGGAATTCTGGGATTTGTAGTTTAGTGAGGCTGTTAAAGGCTCCTCCCAAAACTACAAACCCCAGAATTCTGCAGGAGGCAGCAACCGGATTTTAAGTGGATTTTTTCTCTAGGGTTTTTTTTTTGGTCGTGTCAGGAGCGACTTGAGAAACTATAAGTCGCTTCTGGTGTGAGAGAATTGGCCGTCTGGAAGAACGCCTGGATGTTGTGTTGTTTTAACATCCTTGTGGGAGGCTTCTCTCATGTCCCTGCGTGAGGAGCTGATAGAGGGAGCTCATCCGTGCTCTCCCCAGATTTGAACCTGCAACCTGTTGGTCTCCAGTCCTGCCGGCACAGGGGTTTAACCCACTGCGCCATCGGGGGCTCCTTTTCTCTAGTGTAATGAGGCTAACAGATTTCCAACCTGTTGACTTGCTTTAGTGTTGTTGTTTTTAAAGGGACTGTTGGTTCTGTTTCAAAACCTTAAAAAAGAAAAGAACGCTTCTTTGTTTTTTAAAACACTTAAGTTTCAAGCACAGCATGGCTTGCTGTTCTCAATGATACTTGACTTTAGCTGCTAGATTTGAAAGATTGTGACCCTTGTCCGGATCCGCTGGTGTCGTCTTTCAACTGATGGGACCAATTAGCCCTAATGGGCTGAAAACCATTTCCATGGGATGGTGACGGGCATCATGCTCTTGGCATGGTTTTGTTCTGTTGCACCCTGAATTGCCTCTGTGAGCAAAGAGGGGGAGATGGTGCTCTTGGATGTGTGGCTGTGGTTAGCAGTCAGAAACCTTATGGCCTGGATTTGATTTTCAAGAGGAGAAGAAAAGAAGTTGGTTTGATGCACACTGTTTGGACTACCGATTCCTTCCTAACTAGCCATGAAAGTGCAGTTGTAGGTCAAAACATGGAGAATTGCAGGCTGCCAACTTGGCTGTTGGGAAAGAAAATAGTAAAAGTGGAGGAAAATGAGCAGGGAGCATTTGTGAGATTGGGGTTTGCACCGCAGTCAGGTCAGAGAGCCCTCTCGAGTCCGCCGACAGTATATCTCTCAGAAGCCCCAAAAGAGCTTTGTGTTTGGTGGCCAAATCCTTTTTTTCTTCTTTTTTAAAATAGAAATGCAGTTGATCTTTGGGGAAAGGGGAAATGCATTTCAAATGTTTTCTTTGCGTTTTTTAAAACTCTGTCTCCGTTTTTAAAAAACTTTTTTTCCTAACAAAATAAGCTGATACAAGTGTGTTGAAACATCACAATGATTGTGTTTTTGATAAAGGAATGGTAAGAAAACGAGTCCAGCATTCAATGAGCTTTTACTGTACTTTGGTAAGCGGATTCTGTTTGGGACTTTTTCCCTTTTTGAAATCATGATGTTGAAACACGTTCAATGGTGTTTTAAGGGATTTACATGTAATAAAGATGCAGAATAAAGTTTCACCTTTGTCGGAGTGAATTGATCACATAAGCACTGCTTTGAATGGAGTCAAGACTGGTAAACCTGACATTCATACCTCCAAAAAAATAAACATAGGAGGCTGTCATAGAAGCAGAGTGCAGAAAGTTTATCTTAGGGGTCTCATATAACTTCCCAAAGGATAATTCTCCTCAGAGTTTCCTCTTCACCCTGGAAAGAGGTGACAAGTGGAGTGCCAAAAGCAGGGTTCCATCCTGGACCAGTTCTTGTTAAAGAGCTTTATTAATGACTTAGGTGAAGGGTTAGAAGGCATGCTCATCAAGTTTACAGACAACACCAAATTGGGAGGAGAGCCAAAACTCCAGAAGACAGAAGCAGAATTCAAAACAGTCTTAACAGATTAGAGAGATGATTGACCAAAACTAACAAAATGAAGTTGAACAGAGACAAATGCAAGATACTCCATTTAGGTAGAGAAAATGAAAGGCAAAGATAAAGAATGGGGGGGAGGGGGGGGGCGATGCCTGGCTCAACAGTAATAGATAGAAAAAGATCTTGGAGCTCTCGTGGACAAGAAGGTGAACATGAGCCAACAATGTGATGCGGCAGCTAAAAAAATCCAGTGGCATTTTGGCCTGCATAAATAGGAATATAGTGTCTAGATCCAGGGAAGTCATGCTACCCCTCTATTCTGTGTCCAATTCTGGGCACAACAATTGAAGGGAGATGTTGACAAGCTGGAATGTGTCCAGAGGAGGGCGACTCAAAGGATCAAGGGTCTGGAGAACAAGCCCTATGAGGAGTGGCTTAAAGAGCTGGGCATGTTTAGCCTGCAGAAGAGAAGGCTGAGAGGAGACATGATGAGGCCCATGGATAAAGATGTGAGGGGAAGTCATAGGGAGGAGGGAGCAGGCTTGTTTTCTGCTGCCCTGGGGACTAGGGCGTGGAACAATGGCTTCAAACTACAGGAAAGAAAGGAAATTCCACCTGAACATGAGGAAGAACACCATAATGGTGAGAGAGAACTGTTCAGCAGTGGAACTCTCTCTGCCCCGGAGTCTGGTGGGGACGCCTTTATTGGAGGCTTTTAAGCAGAGGTTGGATGGCCATCTGTCAGGAGTGCTTTGAATGCGATTTCCCTGATTCTTGGCAGGGAGTTGTAAGTACGATTCTAAATATGATTCTAAGTTTTACTGCAACATTTCAAAAAATAATTAAAAAAAAACTTTGGAAATACAAACTCTTGCAAACTCGGTGCCAAGATTTTTTTAAAGGTTAAATGAACAGCTTAACAGCCAAATATATCAGAAGGTTTGTCACATTAATCAATAACCTTGGGTATTAATTGCCATGCTACTCTAGAATAGCTCTTGCTTGGATCCTAAAGGCTTTCAAAATATGAGGGGAAGTTGTAGGTGATAAAAGCATCCTTATCCCACAGCTGATACTGTCATTCAACATTTTATTTCAGAGACTAAATTTGACACTAAGTGGCTAAAAAAAATCAAGATATCTAGAGTGTGGCCCGGCATAGAAAGAGCAAAATACTATAGCATATAGTGTGGAAGGTCTTCCAACTTGAAAATGCCATTTCAGTCTCCACTGATAGCAAGATTTATTTATTTACAGTATTTATACCCTGCCCTTCTCACCCCGAAGGGGACTCAGAGTGGCTTACAGAACACACATACGGCAAGCGTTCAATGCCAGTTATACAATTAACAAGGACAGACAACACAAACAGAGGTAAAGGCAGTTTTTCCCATCTTATTTCCAGCATCTTGGAGGCTGTGTGTGACTCCAGGCATGCTGTTCCTCCATCTTCCATGCCGAGGAGCTTTCCTCTGATCAGTGTCCTTAAGGGCGCTTTTATTACCTCCCCGCTAAAAGCGGTACCTATTTTATCTACTCGCATTTCTGCTTTTGACCTGCTAGGTGGGCAGGTGAGCTGTAGCTAATGGCGTGTACTCTCCCTGACCTGGGCTCAAACTGCTGATCTTTTGATTGGCAGGATTTTTTCTGCAGCACAGCGGTTTAGCCTGCTGTGCTAAGCCTCGGCCTGCTGTTCTAAGCCCGGCTCAAATCGGCACCTAAGGAGTTTTCCTCATCACATACAGCGTAATTAGCTGACGGTAAAAATGATGAAGGAACCGCAAGACAAAAATGGGTCAACCTGGTTATGGAATATGGAAACCAGGCACTAACCTCTCCTTGAGGTTGGTACTAGGCTACTTGTGCGCTTGCTTTGGATCCCCTATTAAAGACCCAATGATGGTCATCCCCAGGACTGAAGTCGCAGTGGTATAGCGACTTTCCAATGTCTGAAACCTCCTCCAGAGCCTGGTGCCTCCAACGTTGCCGTCAGCATGCTAAACGCAAATGCTACATTAGCTGTGTACGTGGCTTCATTAAAACTTCATTACACATTCTTTAATTCATGCAAAATGGTTGGAGTTTACAAAGCACTCCAATCATTATTAATAAGTAAATTTGGAATAGTTCATTAATTAATGCCAGTTGGAGAGGCGTCAGATAACAGAGGAAGAATACTAAGCCGAAGTGGGTTTCTTTTCAAAATTGTGTCTTCCTGAGCAAAGCACAGCAGAACTTTGAGAACTGGTGGCAGATGGGCTCGGTCTCTTGTTTGCATTTCCTGTGTAGCTTGGCAGCGTTGCCTTTGATGCATAAATAAATCCAAAAATGATAGGCTGATGGTGCTTCATGTATTGATATTATTCCTTCTCCTGGGGAAGAGAAGTGGAACAGACCACATCCCTGAATTATTGCCAGACACCAATTGGAAATCACACCAAGGTGCCCTCTGTATCCTTTGCAATGGATAACCAGGGTGGGAACCATTCCTAAATAATGCGGAGACTCCAGTGAGCTCTTGCTGTGCCGGATAAGCCTGTTGGCTGGAGTTTTATTTTTGCTCTGTAGTCATATAAGTAACTCCTCATGATAGCTACATCACAATTGTCATACCAGATACCAAGATGTCACTAGCCATCATGGTTTCACTCATATCAGGAATTGGGATGAGGATCAAGTCAAATGTTCATGCTACTATATATTTGTGGTACCACATTCTACTTTTCTTTAGCTTTCTGCAGCAGTGGTTCCCAAACATTTTTGGTTATGGAGACTTCTTTTCCCGCAGAACCCCAACTCTATCCCTAAGCCTTTTGAACACAAATTCCTCCTCCTTTCATCTTTTCCTTTTGCCTGAGTGTTGTATATAATGTAATAGGTTTGGAAATAAAGGGAAACCAGTTTGAATATCACCACGAACATTTATTTTGATACAAGAAAATATTGGATGAAGGAAATTGTCTCTTGTACTTAAAATAGTTTTGAAATTGAGCTTTATACCAGACAGCTGAGTATGTGGATCTGGAGCAACATCCAACTTACTCCTATACAGGCAGTTCTGTAGGTTTGTTCTTAAGTTGAATTTGTTTGTAGGTCGGAGCAGGTACATTATTTAAGTGCAACTCCAGCCAAATATATTTATACACACACACACACACACACAGAGAGAGAGAGAGAGAGAGAGAGAGCTTTGGATAGCATAGGGAAGGGTTAACACCCCTGTGGTGTTTCTTTTGTTGTCTGTGCCCTGTTCAGGAGATTTCACTTTATTTTCTGTCCCTGTGATCATTAGATTTTGAAAAACCTGGCTTCTTATAGAAACAGGGATTGGTGATAAAGCTTCAGTGGAGACACCTTTTCCCCATGATAATAATTCTTCCAGGATTCTTTCTTAGTTTCAGTTTGCTATCGTATCTTCTGTTGAAGTCTAGCTGAGTGTCTTATGCACGGACTGTCTCTGTTGACTAAAACTTCTTTTCCTGTTCAAGGTCTCGCTCCCATCATTAATTCCTGCACCCTGTACCTCAAAATCAACTTCCTTCTCAGATAACTGACCAGGGATACAGTTATTATTATTACTATCATTTGAAACATAACAAGATGAGTTCACAGCAGACAAGATCACTCTGCTGGCTGTTGTATTGTCGGACACTTCCCAAGTGTCTAGGACTGTGTGATGTATCGGCAAATAATGCGTGCAGATCCCAATAAGGTGGCCTTCTGCAGCTAGCAGATGGTAATTTTATCAGTGCTGATTGTGTTTAAATGCAGGCCAAGGTCTTTAGGCACTCCACCCAGTGTGCCGATTACCACTGGGACCACCCTGACTTGGCTTGAGCCAGTCTTTGCAGTTCGATCTTTATATCCTCATATCATGTCAGCTTTTCCAGTTGTTTCTCTTCAATCCTGCTGTCACCTGAGATTGTAACATCAACGAGCCATACTTTGTTTTTTAACATGATCGTGAGGTCAGGAGTATTGTGCTCCAAAACTCTGTCAGTCTGAATTCAGAAGTCCCAGAGTAGTTTGACGTGTTCATTTTATTTATTTATTTATTTATTTATTTATTTATTTATTTATTTATTTATTTATTTATTTAGAGCTCTTCTCGACCTCCGAAGAGGGACTCAGGCCAGCTAACTGCAGAAAATTCAACACAAATATAGTAAACATAATAGTATCATAATACATTAATACAAAATACATTAAAATACAGATCATACAATATCATACAATTACAAAAGCCATGTCGTCAGAATAAAATCACAAATTTTCTGTAACCTTTTCAGGCTTGTGATCCCACCAGTTCTTTGTCACAGGCAGATGATATTATTATTATTATTATTATTATTATTATTATTATTATTATTATTATTATTATTTCCCTTGAGGATCCTCTTGCAGCAACTCAGGCCTCTCTGGCCTCTCTTTTAAACTCCATTCAGGCCCAAGCGACCCCTCATCCCCAGACCCTGGCCCAGAAACCAGATCAACATCCCCATTCCCATCATGAATATCAACATGAACATCAGACACAATCACAGTCTGATCAGGCTGATATACAACAGCGACTGCTTCTATTTTTTTGTGCTATAAGACTAAAAGCACAGTTTGGGAATCACCGTCTTACAGTACACACAGTCCTGATC